ACGGAAAGAAGCATCCTGATCATGTAGTCCATGCTACTTGCACTCGCTCCTGCTCTCTCTCTCTCTCATCCAATTAAGTACTGTGACTTCCCACAGGTCACATAAAAGTTACTGGTAGAGCTAAGACCAGAAGCCAGATGCCCTGACTCCCTGTCCAGAGAGCTTTCTGACACAACCCAGGTATAGACAGATAAAGGGGTTTGAGTAACTCCAAGTGTCACTTGACTGAAATGAGCCTTTCATTTATTTAACATTTAGTAAATGCTTGTTGAAAACTGACCATGTGTTAGGGTTAACTTTAGGAAAAATTTCATTGCTGACCCCATTCTCTTGTAAGTGAGCTGAGAACCAGCAATGATTTTAGATTTTTTTTTTTCCATTTTGGATTACTTTGACCAATGATCTCTCCATTTTAGGCATACGAAGGGCTTACTATAAATAGTTGAGCTGATATGTGGGTGGTTGTTGGGTTTTGTGTTAAACTTAAATCTCTTAACTCTCTCTCCAGACCCCTGCACTTAGGTTGAACTGATGGTGGGATTTCTTTAGCACAGGAAATCAGGAAGTTGCCTTGTCGGTTCCCACAGTCAAGTTGGCTGTCCCTTTGTGAGGGCCACTGCCCTGGGCTCTTTCTGACGCTATCCCTGGCAGGTCCCAGAGGCAATGGTATACAAATGCTATATTGGTAACAGAAGTTATAGGAAAAGGTGAAGCCTACATATCAAGTGCTATAGAATTCCGTTTATTTAGGGCCTTCCTAGAGGAGGAGTCTTGGCTGGGGAGGCAGTTCCTTCCCACTTGATTGTGTTGTTGGCTGAATAGTATAGAATGAGGCTGAAGTTGTGTGAGAAGCTAAGGTAGCCTCTATTGTGAAGGAGGTGGGAGAGCCACTTCTTTTCCCCAGCTGGGAAACCTCATACCTCATCCTGAATTTCCTGAGTTGGCAGAGGGGGAAGGTGTTGGAGTTCACCGAGACTATAGTGATCAGTGCCCTTCTTTCTTTAAAAATCCCTTTTAGCCTTGGTTTTAATGTTCTTGGTCTTCAATGGCCCCACTGCAGGCTGTCATTTATGTGAAAAACCTGGGCAGGGGTCTCTGTGACCAAGAGTTGGAAGCGGTGGCTGGGGATTGTGTTAGACCATGCTGGTATAGGACTTGGGGGAATTTGTGGAAGCGAGAGCCTTCATTGTGGGGTGTTTGGGGTGCTGATCAGAACCTATATGGAGAAGTCTAAGGCAAGGTCATGAGAAACAGAGGCAACAACTGAGAGGGGAGCTAGTTCAGCTGGGATGCTCTGACACCCTCAGCTGTTTCTCCTTCTTGCCCAGGGGGAAGAAGGCACCTCTAACCTTGAACTGGGGAGGAACTGACTGGACTCCAAATCTTTCTTCTTGAATCTGGCCTTTTTCCTCTTCCATCTAGCAGCCCATGGATATCCAAGTGAGTTGCCTAAAACAAGTCTAATGCCCAGGGCTGATCATTGTGCTCTGAACTTGGGAGAGCCAGGCTTGCCCAGGCTCCTTAGGTGGGCTTTCTCACTATCACCAGCCTCTCTGGGCACTAGAGCTGGCACCTTCTAACCTGGATCGAAATACCCTCTGGGACCTTGGATATCAGTTTGTCTCTGGGCTATAGAAGTTAGTCTGCAGACAAGTACATATCAACAGGGCTTTTATGCCCAGTTGTAAGCTCAGGACCCTGGAGGTTACAAAAGGTCAAAAGTGCCCTGGCCAGTTTGGTTCAGTGGTTAGAGCGTCGGCCCACGGACCAATGAGTTGCAGGTTTGATTCCGGTCAAGGGCACATGCTTCGGTTGCGATTCGTCCTCTGCCCTGGTTGGGGTTGTGCAGGAGGCAGCCAGTCGATGTGTTCCTTTCACTTCGCTGTTTCTCTCTCTCTCTCTCTCTCTCTCTCTCTCTCTATCAGAACAAATGGAAAAATGTTCTCGGGGGAGGATAAAAAACAAACAAACAAAAAAGCCCCCCCCCCAAAAAAAAGGTCAAAAGCCACACTATTTATTGTCACTATGTGCCAGGAACTTTATAAGCGCTATTTCATTTATTTCTGTAAAAATCTGAAGTGGCAGGTATTATTAGATCATTATTCTTTTTTTAATTTAATTTAAAAATTTATTTTAATTGGTATATAATTAATATATACTATTGTATACGTTTAAGGTGTGCATTGTGTTGACTTGATACATTTATATATTGGAATACAGATCATTATTCTTATTTTACAGAAAAGAAATGTGTATGTATGTAATTACCTGAAGTCAGGTAACTAGTAAGTGGTGGAGTCAAGATTTGAAGATGCTTTAAGTTTAACTGCAAAGCCTTTGCTCTTGGTCACTACAGTAACCTAGGTCTCCAAGGTGAGATTTTCCTTGAAGGGAATGAAATGCAGGCAGCAGGGTGTTGCACATTTAGGGGATCCATCATGTCATCATTCACTGAACTTTGGTTATATGGGTATTTCACATACACTTGTTTATTCAATCTTCGTAGCAACCCCTTAGAGTTAATATGTTATCCCCACTTTATTGATGCAGAAAGTGAGGCTCAAGGAGGTCAAGTGACTTGTCCAAGATGACCTGGCTAAGTGAGTGACAAAGCCAAGATTTGAACTCAGGTAGGCCCTAACTCCTAACAGCTAGGCCTCACTTGCCCTAGATGAACTCCACTTGCTGTCCCCAGTCCCTGGAGGACTCAGGTGCAGAGGAAGAGCCCCATTGCCCTCTTGAACCAGCCCACTCATTCCCCATCCTTCCAATGGGAGCTAGAGGCTACAGGCTGCCTGGGCTTCTGACACTCCAGGCTAGGGGTGGAGGTATAGGGTCTCTATCTGTGAAGACTCAGCCTCTTGGACACCAGATTTTGGTTTGCTGGACTCAGGGAGCCACTTGGCATCTTCTGGATGTCCATGGGACTAGACAGGAGGTTCCAGCAGCCCTGCCTGGAGGAACATTGGGCCCTTGGCACTGCCTTTTTAGCCCCTCAGTCCCTGGCCTGCAATCTACATTTCCATATTGCCCCTGTTCACCTGCATTCATTAGCGTCCTAGCAGAACTGCCTGCTTCCAGCCTGTATTCAGCCTGCAGACCAAGTGGAGCCTGATAGCTCTAAGACCACTCCCCCCAATCCCTTCCCCAGGGCAGGGGAGGAGTTCAAAACATACTTTTGTAAGTCTGACTTTTCTTTGTCTGATGTTTTCCTTTTCCTGGCTTAGACCTAATAGATAAGTATTACCCAGGGTTTTAAAAGAGTTACATTTCTCCTTTGATAAGGTCCCCTTGGTATGTTTGTGGATTTAAAACACATTGGACATTATTCACTCTCCAGTCCCCATTGTTCCAGAAACCTGTACCAAAAGGCAGCAGGATAATGACTTTGCTACTACCACAAATTGAAGGCCAGAGGCTTGGGCCTATTGATTTATTTAGTTTTGTTTTCCAAAAGTTAAAATATTTTTCTTTTTAAAATAGATATAAAAATAATAATACTTTTGAAATTAAAATAAAACAAGAATGTAGAAACTGAACACTTCTCTCCATTACTTCCCCAATCCCACCTGGCTCACCTCACAAGATCATCACTGGTTACTATTTGGTGCAAATTTTTCTGGTCTTTGTTCTTGTGTATGTTTTCCTTTGCTTAAATAAAAATGAAATCACCCTATAAATGATGTTTTAGCACTCACTTCTTCCCCATGATATAGCATGGACTTCTTTTACAACAAGAACATTTGTACATTATTTGTATAATTTAAAATTTTAAAATTAACAATAAAAATATCACGAAGATTTTCCCTGTGTTATTATTTTTCTACATCATGTTTAATGGCTGCATGGTATTGTGTGAATGGACCATATGTATCTAACTGATTCCCCATTCATGTTGTTTTCAGTGTCTTATAGACAAAGCTGTCACAAATATCTTTGTCCATATATCTGTGTGTACTTGTTTGGCTTTCTGTGCATCAAATCCTTGGAGGGGAATGGAGGTCAAAGGGTGTCAAAAGCACATTACAAAGGGTCAGATTGCCCTCTGGAGGACTGGGAGGCTCTGAAAGCATGTTCGACCTATCTAATGCTCAGTTTTCTCCTCTGTAAACTGGGAATGTGATGGTACCTACTTCGGGGATACCGTGATGATTACGAGAGAAGAAATGGAAAGCACTTGGTGCCTGGCAAATGTGTCAGTATTCACTAAATCACAGCCGTTATTCAGTACCACTGGGGCTTTGAGATCTTTTGGGCTCGTTTCTTTGGTGAGGATAATACTTATAGTTTCCTGAGGACCACAGCCACTAACAGCAGTGGGACACGTGTAGCTGAGAACAAAGCCTGGAAGCATAGTGGCCTTGTCTTCATTCTGATGGCAGCTCTCACTCTAGTTTGCCATTCCTCTTGGAGTTAATGCTGACAAAAACAAAGGAAGCCAGGGGTCTCCATCTCCATTCCCACCTCCCAGGAGGTGGTATAACTTTAGTGAGCACAGGGCAGGGCCCAGGAAGAGGTGGCCTCAGAGGAAAGGCCCAGCTGAATTCAAAGTTCCCCTTGGACACTGGAAAACCCCAGTTCAGGCCTTTTCTCACTGGAACGGAGGTCTTCAAGGCTCTTGTTAAATGAATAATTCTAGGAAGACAGAAATAGCTATCCTCAACTCTCAGACCCCAGCAAGGACTGTGGCCCCAGGAGCCTGAGTTCTGAGGGAGGCAGGTTAGCAGGAAGGGCAGAGCCAGCTAGGACTTCAAACTGGAGCTTTAGGTCAACAGGGTCAAGGGCACTGAGCATCTTTAGGGAAGGGACAGATGGCCCTGAAAGGACAATGTGGACGTTTTGCTGAGTCCAGCTTTGAAAGAGACTAGTCTGCACTCCCAACCCTCTCTCCATAAGAAAGATAGCTGGAGATGGTAACTTCATTTTATTTATGTTTATTGTTGCCAACCTATCTCCCCCAACCCCTCTCATATTTACACTAACCCCCACCCCCACCCCAAGCTAGCTTTACCAAAGTTCCTGGTCGTAGATCCAGAAGTATGTCCATTAAGCTGGCAGTTCTAGATGTAGTTGGCATTGTTTGTCCCTGAGCTAGTTTGGCCCCGGGGAAGAGTTACTCTGGGACTCAGGCCACAGATTTGGTGCTGGAGTCAAGGGAAGCTCCACCAATAGATACTATCCCTACCCTTTTGCATCTCAGGGTACATTAAAACCTTTAGCAAAGCAAAGTTGGAGTAATGGATTCCCCAGTGTCAAGTTTGTGCTTTTCTTGCTTGTAAGGACCCACATGAGAGGCCAAGTCTGGGCCCAGACCTGCATCTGACTTCTGAGGGACCATTCTATCCTTGGAAGTCAGATCTGACCATTTGCCATCAACCTGGAGAAAAGTGTCATTTGAGGGGGCCAGGAGTGGAAAAGGAGGGTGCACATTGTATGAGGTATGGATATTGCTTTAAGCTGGACTAAGTTGCAGCTTGGCCTGAGTTATGTGGGGAGGAACAGAACTGATGAGCAGGAGAAGATATTTCATTTGGGAGCCTAAGGTCCCTCCAGCCTCCTCAGTAAGCCTCACTGGTATCTTGGGCCACAGATAACAGGAGAGCAGACATTTAATGTCACAGAATGTCAGAGTTGGCAAGGCCCTCAGTGTCTATCCATTCTAATCCCAGTCAGTCCTAGACCCAAATTGGGGAAGACACTTGATTTTAGTGACAGTAATTTAGTGGTTAAATCTCCTAGAAAGTTAAGGAGAAGGAAAGTAAAAAAGGTAAATGTTACTTTCTTCAGACCTTATGGAGGACAATCTGGATTTACTCATGATCAATTAGAATCCTTTTAAATGACCAACTTCCCCAGGGTCCTGAGATGGACTTGAAATACTTGGTCCCCCTTTCAGGAATAGTGCTACAGGGGAAGGTGCTGTGGGAGTGAGGAGGCTTTGGAGGCCTTGTGGTGAGGGACATGAGTGGGGTAACCCCTCAGTGCCCCACTTGCTGTGGACATGGCCAGAGTGGTCTGTACTGTCAATAACTGGTGGAGAGAGGGGAGCGGACAGGTGTGATGTGCCCTCGGCGGCTCCTTATCCACTCCAGTCAAGCCTCTAGGGCCCTGGCCAGCTGCTGCGGCCTTAGGTACCACAGGGGGAGGAGAGGGGCCCAGGGCCAGGTTAGGCACCAGTCCTCTGCCAGCCCTCCAGCCTGGGCTACGTCTGGAGGCTGGGACTCATCCCTGCTGCATGTGCTGCTCAGGCCCAGCCTCGGCCCACCATCACCTCTGCTCAAGGCGCCCCAGCCAGAGAGAGGCCCTGTAGCTGCTCCTCAGTGCCCGCCAGCTCCGCCTCGTCACGTCCGCTCTCTGAGCCCTCGAAGCAGCCTGAGTCACGTGGGATGTCCCCCTTGGGGTCTGACAGGGTGTGCGCCGCTGGTTCCTGGCTGCTATCAGCACCTTCTTCTGCCTCCTCACTGCCGGCTGCCAAGGATGAGGGTGGGAGATGGAATATGGGGTCTTGGGCCTTAGAAGGGAGGGGAGTCAGAAACCCCAGGGAGCTCTGGGTGGGAGTCGGGACGCTGGGGATAGGGACACTGTAGGCAGTCTCTCCCCCTGGGCACCCGCCATCATCTCTGCCTTTCTTGTGCTTTCCAGGACCAGGAACTTAAACTTCTTCAGCACCAAGCCAGGAGCCAGAAAACTGCCTGAATCCCATCTCTGTCATTGTCCAACTTTGAGCTCTTGAGTACTTGCCTTACCTTCTGTGTCCTTAAGTCTCCCCTTGTATCCCAAAGGGAGTGGGACCCAGTCATCCTTAAAACCCCTTCTCCCCTCAAATTTTGCCTAAGACTGGGGTTAAAGTGTGTAAAGTGCCTTTCCTCTCACTGCACAGGGCCCCAAGGCAGAGGCTTCCCCTCCCTAGACCACCAGCAGCACCCTCACCTAGCTCCTAAGCCCACTCACTATCATAATCCAGCAGCAGCTCGGCAGCAGTGAGCAGCTTGGCCCGGTGCTGTGGGTCTGTGATGTTCAACTCATTGAGGTGTGTTTCCCGCAGCTCTTTGAAGTCCTCCAGTGTCTGGTAGCCATTGAGCAGCAGGGTGGATGTGTGCTCCTGTGGGCGGAGGCAGGCCACCAGCTAAGACGCTTATAAGCCACCCCCTCCACCACCACCAATCCCTCTCTCCCTACATAGCTGACTTGCCCTGACCATCATCCCTGGGATAAGGGTGCCTCCCTTGATCCTAAACGCTAGTGCAGGCCCAAGGTCAAACCTCCAGGCCAATGCGCTCCAGCAGCTCATGCAGAGTCTTGGGCTTGGGCCTCTTGCCCTTGCTCTGTCGGCGGCTGGGACGGGTAGTCCCCATAGACTCCTCGGGCAGCATATCCACATAGATGAATTTAAAAGAACCCAGCCTGCCATTGAGCAGGCCCAGCCATGTGCCCACAGGCGGCTTTTCAATGATCTGGATCACATCACCTTTCTGTGGGAGGAGAGAAAAAAAAGTGGATTAGGAGAGAGATAGGGGAGGGGGTTCCCTCAGCCTTTGATGACACTGTCTTACCCTGACTTAGTCCAGCCCCCTTTATGCATGCAGCCTGCAAGGCTCAAGTGAGGCCCAGATTGTCATCTTACCTGTAGTTTCAGCGAGTCGTGGTCATAGGGGCTGGGAGTGAAGTCGGTGTGGACTCGGGCCCGGCCACAGAAGGGCCCTGTGTACTGGGGGGCAGGTGGATCCTCCCCAAAGCTTCCAGAGCCTGGACTGGGGCTGCAGAGCTCACTGCCTGCAGGATATGGGGCAGGGAGGAGAGTCACCTTTGTCCCAGGACAGCTGGGGCTGTGCCCAGCAGGTACCTTACAGGGAGTCTGTCTAGAAGTCCCGGGGCTACATGCTGGGGGAAAAAATCTGGGTGCTGGTCAGTCTCACATTGCAGCAAGGATTCTGACCCATCCCCTGAGCCACTCTGCAAGAGCGCAGCTTCATTTCTGAGGCCTCAGGCATGATAACAGTTGACCACAGGAGAAATGGCTCAAAGTCCAAAGAACAGGCAAATTGCAAGGGCCTCTAGAGACGAACTAGGCCAACACCCCAATGAACAGATGAAGCATACTGAGGCCAGACAGGCCAAGTGACCTGCCCAAGGCCTCTCATCTTATAATTGGAAGCACTGGGTCTTATATTCTAGGTCTCCTGACTCCTATTCCAGTGCCCCTTCTACCCCTGAAGCCACACCCTGGAGGTGCGGGGGTCAGGGAAGTCTGGGGAACCAGAGAAAGAACAGGGGACTTGGAACTAGACTGAGGGGTGAGAAAGACAGTGCCTATGAAGGTTTGCAACCCAGAGGCCACAATCTTTCTTTTAGGTCTTGCCTAGCCCCATGGACATCTAGAAAATGCCAAGTGGTACCCTAAGTTAAGCAATCTAAAGTCTGAGGTCTAGGAGGCTGAGTCTTCACAGTTGGATACTCTGTACCCCCACCCAAGCTTGGGATGTCAGAGGCCCAGGAAGCTGTAGCTTCTAGGTATCCTTGGGAGGGTGGGGCAAGAGGGCAAGGGGGCCTTTCCTCTGCCCTCGAGCCCTCGGGGGCCTGGGGACAGCAAATGGAGCTCCTTTAGGGTAGAGCTGTGTTCAAGAATCAGTCAGTCGCTTAAGCTCCCTGAACCTCCGTTTTCACATCAATAAAGTGGGGATAATAATAGTACTGGCCCCATGAAATTGTGAAGATTTAATATGAAGAGGGTTGGGAAAGTTCCCAGAAGGCAAACCATAAAGATTTATTTCTCTTAGCCCCTTCCCAGACAATCACTGGCATGGCCCTAACCCAGTTCTTTTCTCCAGACTCGGTAGATGTTCCCCCACCTCCCCTTCTTACCAGTGGATGCCTGGCGGCTGAGTGTTGGAAGCTCACGCTCCTCTTGCTCAGAAAATGACAGTGCCATCTTTTCAGGGCCAGGGCTGTCCAGGCTGCAGTCTGGAGATGTTGGGGAGGCTGAGCCCTCCTCCAGAGGGTCGGCCTGCAGGGGAGGGGAGACAGGAAGCCCTGAGTAGCCTCAGTTGGGGTGCACATGGGGCAGTCCCGGTGCAGAGGAAATAGACCTGGGTTTGACAGAGAACCGGGCCCTGGCTGGAGCCCCAGCTTACAGGCAGCATGGCACCCTCAGAGCCCTCGTTTCTTCTCTTGTAAGAGGGGAATGACAAGTCCTTGCCCTGCCCACCTCACAGAATGAAGCATAACTGGGGTGCCATGTGAATGTACTTTGTCAACTTAGAGCGCCAATGTATATACAGAGAAGGCTGGTGCCAGAGCTTGAACTCAGAACTGTCACTGGGGCACAGTCAAGCAGAAGAGTTACTACTTTTGACTATGCTTGATTGTTCCAAGGTTTTAGATGAGAAGTAGTGGAGGAACTTGGGAATCCAAGGCCATGCATGAGGCCTCATTCAAATCCGCTTGACTTCAGGGCACTCCCGCCTCATCATACCTCAGTCATAGGTAACTCTTCCACAACTGGCTCTGGCAGTAAAAGCCCTCATGTGTAGAGGTCACCAATTCCTGTGTTGTAAATACTCCCTACAATGACCACTGTGATGTGGCTGACCAAGCAGTGCATCATCATAGGCTATTTCCTTCACACAGACTATAAGATACAAATAACCCCAAGAACATATAGAGCGATGAAAGGCAGCCCAAGAATTAGGATGTGATCAATTCTGGAGATCGACTGTAGCCCCTTTATTTTTAATATAATTTATTTAGTTCTAAGTTTATATAATTTAATTTTCCATAATGTTATATTTCATACCTGACTCAAAATTCCTGAAAATTTGGCCAGCTGCTTTCCTGAGCCGGTACGAGCCGGTACGAGCTGACTGAAGAACACCACTGCCGCCCTGGCCAGTTTGGCTCAGCGGTTAGAGCGTCGGCCTGCGGTCTGGAGAGACCCGGGTTCGGTTCCCGCTAAGGGCACGTACTTCGGTTGCAGTTTGTCCCCGGCCCTGGTTGGTCGTGCGGGTGGCAGCCACTCGATGTGTCCCTTCACGTCGATGTTTCTCTCTCTCTCTCCCTTCCTCTCTCTCCCTCCCATTCTATCTGTACAAAAAATGGAAAAATATCCTCGGGTGAGGATAAAAAAAAAAAAAAAAAAAGAACACCACTGTGTCCAGTGAACATCACTGTCACTTCAGCTGGTTGGCTATCTGTCATGCCCTCCCTCCTTGGGCCAAAGCCAGCCTCCTCTAATTTTCTCTCATAGAGGCCCTCTTTGAATCAAGCCTTCCCAATCCCAGGGGCCCACTGTCCTCAGGCTTACCATCTCAGGAAGCTTCTGTTATTTCAATTTTCATCCCTCATTAGACCCTACCCTTGGTCCCTGTGGACCATGGTGCCTTGCTGCCATGTCCATGGCTGAGTGAGCTCCCCTTCCATGTGACCTTCTCATATATCTTATTTTTTATCCTCACCCGAGGACATATTTTCGTGTTTTGTTCAGATAGAGTGGGAGGGAGAGAGGAAGAGAGAGAGAGAGAAACATCGACGTGAAAGGGACACATTGAGTGGCTGCCACCCACACGACCTCAACCAGGGCCAGGGACAAACTGCAACCGAGGTACATGCCCTTAGCGGGAACTGAACCCGGGTCTCTCTGGACCGCAGACCTTCTCATATTTAATCAAACCTTCAGGCATGGTATCTGAGCGGTGGCTGTCAAGGCACCTGTCCTCCCAGTCCCCACCCCTCCCCTGGATCCCAGGCCTCACCATCTCCTCTGATAGGGCCTTCACCATCATCTTGCCCATCTTCCTATTCATGGTTCGGGAAATCACGGCCCTCCACTTCTTCCCCAGTTTCTTGCCACTCTTCCCAGCATCCTCTGGAGTAGGAACACCTGAGTCATCTTCTGGAATCTGTGACAACAAACGAAGAGTTCCAGGGACCCAGGTGACTCTGCCTGTGTCTAGGACTCGGGGATAGAAGGAGGCCTTTGGGCCCTGGCAGAGGATGGAGGGGTGGGAATAGGAAGCTCTTGTCCCCTTTCCTCTTAGCTCCAGTCCTATTTTCAGCCCTGTTAATTTGTAATTAATTTGATAATTAATTTGTAACTGAAAACTATGCAGGTGAATTCTTGGAGCCCAGAATTTTGGTGGGTGGGCCTTCTGTATTTAAGCAGACTTAGCCTCAACAATCATAAAATCTCTTCTTTCCCCTCCTCTATCCCTTCTTCTCTCCAAGACACTCTCTTGCCCAGGGTCTGCAGCCAGCCATACCCCCCCGCACTCCCCCAAGGAGGCTCTGAAACTTACATTATCATCCAGATTAAATTCCTTCTCGCTCACCACTGGGGAGCTGGGTTTGGCTTTGGCAAAATCTTTGAAACTGCTGGAGCGCTGAAGTGAGAGCTGAAGGAGGGAGAGATGTTGCAATCAGTGATGCTAAAATGGCTGGTTGAGCAGGGGGCTATTCTTATTCCCAACACCCATGCACATACCCCAGGGCTGGACAGAGCCACATGGACCCTGAGGTCCCAGGACTAATATGGCAAAACACCAAAACGTCCTTGGAAATACCTAGCTTCATCCTGTTCTTCAGCAGAGAATGGTCCCTAATACTGGCCCTAGAACAAGCTCTTGCCCTCAAGAGACTCTGACCTCAGTTAGGCCTTAGACTAAGCCCACATTTCCACCAGTACCTGAAGTTCGATCCCCAGAACCCTGAAGTGAAAGACTAAATGAGTCAGAGTAAAGACATATTTCCTGCTACAGACATACCTCTGCATAAACAATAGCATCACCTTTATGTAACAGAGCAAAGTCTTCCAAATGCCATAGCCTGGCCTCCATGCTCTGGGCCTGCTCCAAGCATGGTCTCCTATCTCAGTGACAGCAGTAAACACATTAGGGCCCCCAGCCTGGTGAATCTGTGTCCTGGGAAGAGCAAAACACTTCCCCCAGGAGTCAGTAAGACCCGGCATTAGGCTTTCTGAAAAACCACAGTAGAGGCAGTCAGAGAAGGTACCCACAGATTTGAGACACAAATGATGGGCAGTAACTTAGTAAAAGAAAGCTACCATTTTCTTTCTTTCTTTTCTTTTTTTTAATCCTCACCCGAGGACATTTTCCCATTTTTTTGTTCAGGTAGAGTGGGAGGGAGAGAGAGGAACAGAGAGAGAGAGAGAGAAACATCGACGTGAAAGGAACACATAGAGTGGCTGCCACCTGCACGACCGACCAGGGCCGGGGACAAACTGCAACCGAGGTACATGCCCTTAGCGGGAACCGAACCCGGGTCTCTCAGGACCGCAGGTCGACACTCCAACTGCTGAGCCAAACCGGCCAGGGCGAAAGCTACCATTTTCTTTCTTTACCTCACCTTTTTTTTTTTTTTTTATCCTCACCCGAGGATATTTTTCCATTTTTTGTACAGATAGAGTGGGAGGGAGAGAGAGGAAGGGAGAGAGAGAGAGAAACATCGACGTGAAAGGGACACATCAAGTGGCTGCCACCCGCACGACCAACCAGGGCCGAGGACAAACTGCAACCGAAGTACGTGCCCTTAGCGGGAACCGAACCCGGGTCTCTCCAGACCGCAGGCCGACGCTCTAACCGCTGAGCCAAACTGGCCAGGGCTTTACCTCACCTTTTAACCTTAGCCACTAATTTGATGAGATGCCTACTGCTGACAGGTGCTGGTCTTCAGACTTTTTGGCCTGACCTATTGTTTGTGCTGATGAGACTGTTTTCAGGAAATGAGCTTTCTTAACTGTGCTTGTGTGCACATGCCAAGATAGCCACAGAAACCAGGGCCAGGCAGGTAATGAGGGCAGGCTTTCAAGAAGTAGAGGCTGAGCCTGAATCAAGATCATCAGCCAAGACCAGAGATACATACAGGAACCAAGGTTCACAGATGGCCAGACAGAGCAGAATAGACTGCAGACACCGGAGATAAGGGCTTGAGGAACCAAAGCGCCAAAAACTCACACAAGACTAAAAATTTCACATCCTCTTTCCTATGAAGAGGGCTCCAGTGACAACCTCTCAGTGCAGAGGCAATATCACCTGCCCCCCAGCACACACACAACTGGCCCCAACTCCTGGGGACTGCACTGGAGCACTTCCGTTCTCTTGGTGGGTCTTTACCAAAGGCAAGTCAGCAATCAGGGTCAGGGGCCACACTTTCCTAGAGATTGCAACAAGCTAGCTGACCAGAAATTAGGTCAGCAGTCAGGCCAAGTAGCCACTACAACCATGAGGATGTCCTGGGTGGAGTCCCTTTAGCCTCCATCAGGAAGCCTTTTCCATGCTACGCTGGGGAGCCAGAAAAGGGGGCCACAAGTGGGGAAGGGAAAGCATGACTGTGAGGTGGCTGCTCTGGTTCCTGTGTATTTCTTCTACCCTCCTTTGTTGGTTTTCCCCACCCACTGTTCTTTCCTCTTTTTCTCCCTTTCTTTCCCCGTCTCTCCTCTGCTTTCTGTTGATTTCCTCCTTTCTTGTATGGCTAGCATGCATCTGCCCTGATAACTTCCTCCTCTTACTGCCTGGAAAAGAGGGAACAGAGAGAGGGTGGGAAACAGACTGGCTATTATTTATAGGCCAGTGGGGCCTATTGTGACCTTCTCTCCATCACCTCTTGGCCTGGTCTGCAGACCAGGAGGCTGAGATTTGCCCCCAAACCCCCAGGGACTGCAAGCCTGGAAAGCAAGCAGGATGGCAGACGTGGGCCCGGAAGTGAGCTTTGTTGGGGCAGAGTAAACTCATTGCCAGGCCTCCCTCTAATTGCAATTCTTTCCTTTTCCTGTCATGAACCTTCAGTCTGGGGCTGGGAGGGGAGTCTTTGGCACATGGGACCTTGTTTCAGGGCCCCTGTCCCAGCATTAGCTCAAAGTGGAGGAAATTCTCCAAAAAGATTGTGGGGTTAGTGCTGGTACTTGGGTCCAGCTGGTGGATCCTCAGACCAGGGACATGGAAAGGACTACACGATTCTTCAGTGGACTAAAGGTGGAGGCTGACTAGAGTGGTCCATCTTCAACCTAAGAGGCAGCACCAAAGATCCTGAATGCCTTGGGACGTCTCTGAAGTGACACCCCACCCAGGTATGAGTTGAAATCCTTGAGCTCCTAGATTTCCTGCCTGACCTCTGTTTGGGGTGAGTCCTCCATGGGGGTCCTGCCCAAGGGCGGTGGTAGTACCAAACATTATTTTTCATGTTTGAGGGGAATGTATGGACCTTTTGGAAACAAGTACTTCTCTGATGTCAGATGTTGCTGAGTTCAACCTTGGGATGTGTGATCTTTGGCAAGTTATTTAACCTCCCTGAACCTCAGTCTCTTCACTTGGTGTCAGCCAGAAAATGTTCACATTTTGGTTCTGTCTGCCACTGACCAGCTGTGTAAAGCTGGGTGAGTTCCTCAACATCTCTGGGCTTCCATTTTCTCATGGGTAAAATGAAGACAAGAGCATCTACCTCACTGTGTAGCTATGAGGATGAAAAGAGTGAGTGCCTAACACAGCTACCCCTCAGCAAATGTCCAAGTATCTGGATTTGTTTTCCTCATGACCTATCTCCTTCATCCAGACTCTTACCCAGGGCATTTCCCACCTGGAACACTCCACCCTTCATTTTGTCAACCAAAGTTTCTCCCTTCCTTCAAAATCCAATTTAACTGGAAAAAACCCACACATTCATCAACCATAGAATGGATGCATGAATAGTGGCAGTCATACAAGGAGCTAGGACATAGTGGTGAGCTTAGTACAACTTCTCCAGAACAACATGGATGGATCTCACAGATATACTTTTGAGCAGAAGGGGCCAGCCACTAGAGTATACTCTATGATTCCTCATATAGAAAGTTCAAAACTTGGCAAAACTCAAGCAGAAAAAGACAAATACCACATGATCTCACTTATATACGGAATATAATGAACATAACAGTCTGAGGAATACAGTAGACTCAGACACATGGAAGTAGGGCACAGACTGACATCCCTCAGAAGAGGGGATGGGGGGTGGGGGGGTGGGAAGAGATAAACCACAGAACTTATATGCATGTATGCATGACCAATGGACATGGACAACTAAGCCGGGGACAGGGTGGAGGGGGGGTGGGGTGGGGGGTGCCAATGGGGTAAAAAGGTAAAATATCTGTAACAAAAAAATAAATAAATAAACAGAAAAAAAAAAACTTGGCAAAACTAATCTGTGCTGTTGGAAGTCAGGATGGTGGTTATCCTTGGGGAAAGAATGTGTAGTGACTAGTAGAGGCATGAAGGAAGCTTCTAGAGTGTTGAAAGTATTCTGTTTTTTGATTTGGGTGCTGCTTACATGGGGATGTTCATTATGGAAATTCACTGAGTGGTACACTTATGATTTATGCACTTCTTTGTACAAATATTATACTTCAATAAAGAGGCTTTTTCAAATCCAGTTTTAAAGGCACTGTGCCCTGCAGGAAGCATCCCCTGATCACCCTCTCAGAACTTCACAGTGCCCCCATTGGCATCTTCTTCCCTTGCTTCTTAAGCAAGCTTATTTCCCCCCAGGTGGCTCCACAACTGTGCTCTCAGCTCATTCCTCTACCAGTCATATACCTAACACCCTCTGAGTTCCAGGCACGGGTCCATGCGTGCATGGGAATCCAGTAACCAGGGATTAAATACCTCCCCTGTGCCTGCACCCTGTCAAGTGTTTTATGTGTACCAGCTCATTCCAACCTTACCACAGCCCCATCTTACATACTCCTTTCCCAGCTCAGGAGACAGACTCAGAGAAATGATGTGCCCTAGGCAGAGTTACACAGCTGGTAGTAGAAAGAGCAGGGATTTGAACACATGTTTGTGACTCTGGAAGCCTGTGCATGTTGCTGTGCTCAGAGTTCACAAAGTAACACCCTCCACACACTATAGAAATGAACTGAGTGCAATGGCGACTTCAGGTGGCATTTGGAGGGAGCTACAGGGAGAGCAGGTGGGAGTATGGAGGAGGAAGGGCTCAGGACGGCTTCATAGAGGAGGAGGCACATTTGAACTGGGCTGTGCAGGGGAGCCGGGATTTCTCCCGAAGTTGCTGGGAAATTTTTAAACAACTGTGAGTTATGGACGTTCCAGTGTGGTGATGGAATGGTGGGTATGCCAATGCATGTGGTGGGAGGTAGAGCAGAAAAAGCTATGGAAGACCATTGCCAGCTGTGCCAAGGAATTCGGGCATTAGCCTATGGATGATGAGGAGCCACTGGAAATACAAAATGATGCTGGTAAGGGTGTCCTGCTAGAGGTGTTCTGTAGGAAGAGAACCAGGGGGATGTAGTGTGTTGGATATAGCAGAGATAGACTGAAAAGAGGGATCAACTGGACACTAGAATGGGAGCCTAGATTCCTCTCCATTTCCCTTGGTAGGAGATTTGGGGTATGGGGGAAAGTAGGGATGTGATCCCAGGACAAACCTCTGTCCATTTCCTACACTCTAACAGATCAAAGGGAGTGCAGAGAGAGACCTTGATAGAAGCAAAAATCTGCCAAGTATTATGTCCCCACCCCCAGTCGGGGACCTTGGACAAGCCTCTGAGTCTCAGGTGTAAAATAGGGATAAAGACAATATCTGCTCCTAACTCACAAGACTGTCAATGAGGAGCCAAGGAGCTAAGAGATGGGTGGAGCACACAGCACAGTGCCTGGTACCTGATGAGCTCTCACTCAGTACTGGCTCTTGATGTTATTAAGTCTTGTTTTCTCCACTTCAGGAACCCAGACTTGTTCTTCTTTGCCATGTGCTCCCCACCCCCATCCATGTCTACAGCATGCAACCCATCATATGTACATGCACACACTTGACAGAGCACTCCCACCTTTATTGTCCCAGGTGATCCATGTAACCTCCTGAAATGGACAGATCAAGAGCTATTCCCTTTTTCAGAGATGAGAAAACTGAGGCTCAAAGAAAGTCAATGAACTGTCCCCGGTCCTACAGTTAGAACTTCGTAGGATTCCAACTCTGCCTTACTGTCCCCTACACAGCACTTTCCCCATTTGGCAGGCCTGGGAGGAGGAGCAGGGACAGGAGAGAGAGGCCTTACTTGCCTTTGTGCTGTTTCCTCCACCATGTCACTTTACGCTCTGTGGGGAAGAGACTTGTTCAAGGTCACAGTGCTGGAGCAAGCCACTGCCTCCAGGCCCAGGGAAGGTACTGTTGCCACCTCCTGGAAGCACACCTTGGCTTTTCCAAGGGCACTTCCAAGGTTCGGGGCTTGGAGAGTGGCTCTGGGGGCTGGCCCAGGCTCTGACAAGGAGGACTGGCTTTGCCTGGACCACCTTTCCCTAGAGGACCATATGGGACTTGCTTCTCTTGGGAGAGGGCTGGGGGAAATTCTAGAGGCCCAGTGGCCAAGCACAGAATTGGAATAATGAAAGTGAGGAAAGAAGACAGGGACTTCTGGCTTCCATGTACCCCTAGCACCTCCACTTGAGGTCGCGTAGGGTCCTAGTGTCAAAGTGTCAGCTCTTTCTCAGACTCTTTCCACCAGTTCAGCTCCCCTGTGGTTTGGGGCCTAGCAATGTCTAGAGTAGTCTCGGCTTCCCATCCCCATTTGGCAAAGAGCAGGGGAAGCAGACTGCTTGCTAAGGAGAGACAGCAATGGCAAGTCTACTAGGTCCAGCCCTATGCAGGGCTTGGACAGGCAGGTGACAGCCTGTGGGAAAACTCATAAATCTCTCCCCCATCTCCCCACTTCCACTGCAACCTTAGAGAAGTAGCTGGGGTGAGGAGAGTATGGACGGAAGTGGCAGCCACCCCAGGAACCGAGATGGGGCAGGATGCACACACCAGTGACCTAAAGCTCAGCTCTGGTCTGGGAAGTGCTCTCCTGACAAGGGGGCTTCCCCATAGGGAACCATGGCTGAGCTCCAGGGGAAACTGACAGGGCACAGTGAAGGTCTGGAGGCCTCAGACCTTGGCCTGTGCCTAGGCCTGGGCCTCTTAGACCTGGTTCAGGCCTGCTTTGGAATTGTCCTAGGATTCTGCTGGATGTGCGAAATGTACTTGCTGATTGTGAGAATCCTACAATCAAATCAAAGAATTAAGTCTAGAAATACTCAAATCCAACTAGAGAAGCTTAGATCCGGCAGAGTGTCCAAGGGATCTTTTAGATTGGCCTTTGCTCCAGGAATATGAATACTTCAGCTGTCTATGACAGCTGCTTTTCTTCCTGGCCTTTAAAATCTCCCCCATCACATTTTTCCTCCTCAGCCCTCACTCCTACTCCCCATCTCACCAGCTTCATTTTCCATTCTTCACAAATAATTTCTCCCCACATTGGAAGAGCCTGTATGCCCTGTATTCCACTGCAGGTTGGAGGCCCTCTGCCCTATTTCCAGGTTGTGGGCCAGGGGAGCTACAACAGAGCTAAACCAAGTGAGAGGAATCTGGCTACAGCCAAAGGGTGGGGTCCTAGGAATGTTATGGCTCCAAGTGGGATGGCCCAGCAGGACCCTTTGAATGAGATGACTCTTGAGAGGCCATGCTCAGGCAGAAATGGTAGCAGGACCAGTGTAGGGGGTAGAAAATTAAGTACAGATTTAAGGATTCAACTTGAGAATTGCATTTTGTGATTCTCAAATTCTAGTCTAGGATTCTAGCCCTTAATTTTAGGTCTCTATCCCATCATTGTAGAATTGAATTTTATAACTCTAGACTTCTATGAGTCTTTTCTGTAACTCCATTTCTCTAGAATTTTGGAAGTCTCTTTTGTACTTCTGTTACTCTAGTAACCTTTGGGCCCTTATCCCATTGCCCTCAGGAGCCCTTGCCTACAGACTCAATGGATGGCCTTTGACTCTTCCACTTCTGAGTCGAGGGACTGGACTATGCAAGCAGAGGGAAGGAAGAAGTGAGTTCCCAGAGATGCTCCTCACCTTTTTCTTCTGAGTGGGCTCCTTCTCGCTGGCGTTGGAGGGCTTGCGGCGCAACATGGTCCTCTGCCCTGGTAATAATCTTTCCCTACTCTCTTAGGTGTTGAGATGTGGAGGCCTCTTGCTCAGCCTCGCCAGCACTGTCCAGGGGGCACAGCATGGACTGAACCTCTGGCTGCCACTCTGACTGCTGCAGTAGCTGCTTGAGGGTGAGGGCCATGGACACCCAGCGGCAGCAGCATACAGGAAGCCCTGCCACGTGACCGACTCTTACAGCAATTGCAACCCTTGTCGGCCCCTAGGGAGGAAGGAAGTCCTAGCTTCAGTCTCTAGAGATTCTGATGCAGATGGCTGTTGGGTTGAACAGGCAGAGAAAAGTCCCTACCCTGCCATCTCGTGTCAATCATCACCAGTTCTTCTGCTCCCATCTCCCCAGAGGTGGCCAATCAACTTGATATTATATGACTTACTTAGGCCTCTTATCTCTTTGACCAGAATCCAGAAACCAGATTTTGGACCATCCCTTTGCCTGTTGGGCCAATGTTTCTGGTCATCTTGCATCACTAATGTCATCACTGCCATCACTACCACTACCATCACCCCTACAACCATCACTTCTTATTTATAGACATCACTCCTATTACCATCACCCCTCTAGTCATCCCCACTGCCATCAGCACACCTACAGTCATCATCATTATATAGCAACCACCCCTGCAGCCAACACCCTCAGCCATCACCCCTATAGTCATCATCATTGCTGCTTTCACCCTTACAATCATCATTATTACAGCTGTCACCCTTACAGACAGTATAGCCAGTACCCCCACAATGTTCTTACCCCTACAACCATCATCTCTACAGCCATCTCTCATACAACAATCATCTCTGCAGTCATCCCTACAACTGCCATTAGTATTGCTACAGTCATCATAGTTAGAACTACCCTACAGTCAACACCCCTAAGCCATCTTCCACTATCTGCCTCATCACTGCCACTATGACTTGCACAGCCATCATCCTAATAACCATTGCTCTTACAAACACTATTAATACAGCCATTCACCCCCACCAATGCCCTCACCCTTATAATCACTCCTACAGCCATCAACCCTACAGCCATTACCTACTTCTCAGTCATCACACTCTACAGCTATCATCTCCATTGCCACCAGCATGCACACCTACAGTCATCCTCAACAGAGCTGTTACACCTTAGAGTAACCTGCCCTGGCCATTACCTGTATATTTATCACAACAGCCATCACCATGAAAAAGAAAAGCATTTGCAGGCAACTCCACACCACCAATAAGTGTCCCGTTCAACAGGCATTTCTCAAATGCCAATGTACTACGTTTAGAATGTTCACTTTGTGGATTGTCTGTGGCAGATATTTTAACAACTCTAATGACTTATTTTTAAAAAGAGTTCATATTCATCACAGATACACACAAAAAAGAAATTTAAAAAAGTCTCCATAATTATCTTCCATACTGTTTGGATGGATATCTTTTTCTTTTTTGAGTGTTTATGCGCGCGTGTGTGTGTGCGCACGCGTGCACACACACGCATGTGCTTGTTGTGTTTTCAAAAATCATACTGCACAGAAAGCAGATCAATGGTTGGGGGATAGGGGAGAAAGAGAGATCAGGAGTTCAAGGACCCTTTTAGGAGTGATAAACATGTTCACTGTGTTGGTTATGGTGATGGTTTCATGGGTGTATACATGTCAAAACTCAAATCATACACTTTAAAAATGTGCAGTTTAAGGTAGGTAAATTATACCTAAATAAAACTGTTTTAACATATTTTAATTTTGTTTTTTATTATTTATTGGTTAATATTAATATTTTTAAAAATTATAAAAGTCACATTTCACAAACTGTGTTGGTATCTGCTTGTCACACTGAACACAGTATCATTAAGATTATCTCATGCTATGAAATATTTTTCAACTATGTGATTTTAATGGCTGTACCATGATCATTTCACCAGGCCCCTACTGATGAACTTAGGATGGCTTAATATATTTTTTTACTCTTCACTGCACACCATTAAGTTAAATATTCACATTCACGATTTTCCCCTTAGGATAGATTTCCAGAAGGGGAATCCTGGAGCAAAAGGTACACATCTTTTTAAAGCTCTTCACTGTAGCCCTTCGAAATCCGAGTTGGCCCTCCTCTATTCCCAATTTGTTCTTGAGTCTTCCTCTCTCTTACCCCCTAGCTTGCCTCACGCCCTCCGACCATCCATCGGTTAGGGTGAGTTCAGGAAAGACTAAGTCCTTCACCCCACACTTCATTGGCTCAGCCTGCTGGGCTGGCACATGGAAAGATAGGCAACCTAGCTTGCTTCCCTGCGGGCCTGCACTTTCCAGCCTGAAAGCCCCTCGCAGGCTGCCCTGGCTGAGCCCAGCGTGTAAACTGCTGAGGTTTCGCTGCGTGGGAAGGAGCCCGGCAACAGCGTGGGGGACCCACTGGGCCTTCGGTGCCCGGCAGAGGCGCGTTCGGGGCCAGGAGTGCAGCCTCGCGGGGTGCTGGGTGAGGGACGCAGCTGCAGGGGCTGCAAGGCCTCGGTGGCACCGGGGGCTGGGCGCCAGGAGCTGCCAGGCAGGGAGCCTCTCGCAGAGCCTTCCGTGTCCCCGGCCCGCAAGCAGGATGTGCCCCGTTTCCTGTTTGCTCAGCCCAGGCAGCTAGCTGAGCTCACACTCTAACCGCAGAGTCTTCAAAGGCAGCCACCTAACCAGGCCGCCTGGGAAAAGTCAGCCGGGGGCGGGTGTGTGAGGGGACCTCAGAAAGAAGCTCAGAGAGAAGTTCAGGAACGAAGGGAGTGAGTGTTTTCAGCCCCGCCCTCCGTAGCCTTTCCAGATCCATCTCCTCTGGTCAGTAGACCCGTCCTGGAGGTCCAGGGCTCCTCATCTGGACTTGTCTTTCCCCAACTTTTCTCTCCCAGCAGATGTCCCTGGCTTGAGTCCCATTAGGTCAAACCCCAGCTGGCTAATGGGCCCTAAACAATTTTTAAACAGGTTTCCCTTCTGGGCAATACATTTGCATTTTATAAGTTATGTTCCAGGTACACAGAGCTCTCAGCTAAAGAAGTGATGCGGGTCAGTAGTTCAGGGCTACCTGAAACTTAATAATGGGTTGGCAGACAGGACTTAGGATCTAGCTCTGGGCAGAGCCTATGCTAGGCACCTTGAGGAGATGTGATATAAATAGCTGTAGAAGTTCCTTGCACCTGGGAGCTTGGGGCAGTAAGCTTACATTTGCCCAGCACTTGTTCTTTCCCAAGCACTACGTTAATCCCAACAGAACCCCCTGAGCTAAGTAGTCATCCCTCAGTATGGGGATGAGGATTGGTTCCAGGACCCTTCCCAGATACCAAAATCCAAGGGTGCTCAAGTTCCTTAGTCCTCCATATTTGTGGGCTTAGCATCCACTGATACAGAGGGTTGACTGTAGTTTAAATTGGGATTATTATTGCAAAGATGTGCCCAGTAAAAATGTGAGGCAAGAGAGCCCTGATTTAGCACCAATATTGCGGTGTCTGTGTGCGTGCGTATTTCGGGGGGTGGTCTACTGATAGTGAGATTCATTTGAAACCTCAGAGGGTGGACACAGAGTTGCCAAAGACACAAAGGTCTACATAAGCTACATTTACATAGAGCAGGCCCTCACCTGCACGCCCCCTGCCAGAGATCCTAATTTAGTAGAAAATCATGGGTAGGATATTTGGGCCAAGTGGAACCTGGGCATGTGTGAAAGCATCCCTTAATCTCCAACTGGGTACAGTGCTGATTTGAGAGAGTAAGAGCTTGGAAATCTTCCCAGATGATTCTTATTTTAACCTCTCCCTGCCACATACACACATGGTGGGTTTTACTACAACCCTATGAGGTTGTAGTAAACAGGCACTATTGTTATCCCCATTTTCCAGGGAGGAAGCTAAGGCTCAGAGGGGTTCAGCAAACTTTGTAAGACACAGCTGGGAAGTGGTGGAAACTGAGTTTTAAACACAGGTCCAGTCTTGGTCTATAGCCACGCTATCAACCACTAGTCTCGAGTGCCTCTGATGCAGAGATCCAGAAAGAGGAGGTTAGAGAATTGACACCCTACATTGGTTGCATGCCAGACTAGGTGCCACAGGGTCACTCTGAAGCAGGTCCATAGGGGAGTAAAGAGGATGGGGTGGGTATCTGAAAGTCACATCATATGCACAATAGCTGAATAGCTAGGGCTGATTAAGTATAGTGACCTATAGGGGAGCCTTTGTCAACCTGTGGAGGACTCAAGACCTGTAGGATCTGGCCTAGAGGATTGGGTGGGAAAGCACGTTGACTTCAAACAGCTGTCATGTAGGGCATGTGTTCTGAGTGTCCAGAAATGATGGGGAACAGATAAACGGAAGGCTGCATTCTTTCCAAAGAAGACATTTAAAAAAATTTTTGTTTAATGCTCACCCGAAGACTTTTTTTGCATTTATCTTCAGATAGAGTGGGAGGATGTGTGTGTGTGTGGGGAAACATTGATGTGAGAGAGACACACCGAGTGGTTGCCACCCACACTACCCCAACCGGGGCCAGGGACAAACTGCAACTGAAGTACATGCCCTTAGCGGGAGCTGAACCCAGAACCCTCCAGTCCGCAGGCCGACGCTCTAACCGTTGAGCCAAACCGGCCAGGGCTCAAAGAAGACATTTTTAATATTAAAATGGTACAACCTGAGCCCTGGTAAGTAGTGATCTTTCCATCTCCAGAAATACTCAAGCAGAGACCACATAGTTCCTTGAAATACCTGGGCATTTCCAAGGTGAAGTCCACATGGTAGCCCAACCCATTAGAAGATTTCGTGGTGGTGATCTTAGGCAGGGAGGGCAAGAAGAGCAAAAGTGCAAGTGGCAGAAGGAGGGCAGAGGTGTGCAAGGGACCCCAGGTGAGAAGCATCCATCCCTCATACACACAAACTGTATACACAGAGCTTGCAGATCTAGGGACACTGGGGAGTCCCTGGTAGCAGGGGCTGATGGGAGGGAGAGACAGTCATCTTTGAATCTCTGAACTCTTGATAAATTATTGGCTTAAAAACAAGAAAACAACTGCAGGCAGCTATGGTAATTACCATCAGAAGAGGAGGCTGGGTTTTGGTGCTCAGATAAACTCACTGGAGGCCCTTTCTATAGGAGACTGGGAGGGGACTGAGCAGCTCTGTCTAGACCTCTGTCCCAAGGTTTCAAGGACAAAGACTGCTGAGCAATCTAGAGGTCAATTTTCTAAGGCTCTAGGAAAGAGAAGGAGCTGGAGAAGACCTCTCGGAAATGGAGTCAGATAGAACTGGATTCAAATAGTGGTACATCACCTACTGGCTATATGACTTCGGGCAATGAGCTCTAGTGAAGACAGTAACAGTGATAATATGAGCCTTGCTTGGGGAGGGAGAATGGTGTGTGTGTGTGTGTGTGTGTGTGTGTGTGTGTGTGTGTATAACAAGATTTACCCAGATGACATGTATGGAGAAAGCACTCTCAGCCCAGTGCCCAGCTCATGGAAAGTGCTTGGTACCCAATAAGTGACTCTATTTCAGTTTATTTCAGGCTTCTGACCCTGTGGTTCATATCCTTGTATCTCCACCTTGTCAAGAGCAAGATCCCCCAGCCCAAGCTATTCTAGAACACAGGAGATGTGACAAGCAAGAGGCCTACTACTTACGTGGGACTGCTGGGAGGGAAATTAACTTTTCAGCTTCAGGGCCTTGCCATGGACCACTGGGGCTTTCTCAACTACCCATTTTACTCTACTTGCTCAGTTCCTGTTTCACAAAGAAACAAGGAAGTGAGAAGATGGGTGGCCTCAGGGCAAGGGTTGGCTAGCTGGGTGGGGGTGGGGGGTTGGGGAGCACCTCCCACTCCTAGCTGACAGCCTTGGAGGGCAGGGATAGATAGACAGGGAGGAAACAGTTGCTATTACATCTTTTCATATTTCTTTTTTTTTTGGCACCAAGAGTGCCCAACCACTGATTTGAGGAAGTGACCAGTGAGTTGGTAAATTCACTGCTGAGTTGGTTTAGCTGGGTGAAGAGTAGCTTGTCCCACCCCTTCCATAGTCCAGTCCCAGTCCATGAAGACCTGGAGCCAAATGGGTAAGGACTGACTTAATTATAATTTTTTAAATGAACCATGCAGACTCTGTGTAGGTGTGTACCTATCATCTTACCCATGCTCTTTTCTCTTCCAAAGAGGATTTCAAGCATCAGGAAATGTATCTCAATGCCATCATAATCACTGTTGTCACAGATGTGTGACCTCACACAGCTCTCCTTGGGCCCCAATTTGCTCATCAGAGGCAGTAAGGGAATGACAGAAGCACCCACTGAAAGCAAGGAAGGAGCCAGCACAAAGCTGAGTCAGGACACTGGGGATTTAGTTCTAGCTCTGGCCACAACGGCAGTGTGACCTTGGGTAAGTCCCTTCCTATTTCTGGGCTGCTGTTGACATTTCACCATCTGTACAATAAAGGGATTGAACCCATTTTTTGTTTGTTTGTTTGTTTGTTTTTGGTCATAGAGCTGCTAGTCAGGACTGGCTATCAAGTTTGCGGAGCCTGGTGCAAAATGAAAATTTCAAGATGGTGACAGCAGAACATTAAATCAAGTGCAGGGCCTGTGCTTTACTGCACTACTGCACAGGCAGATGTCCCATGAAGCTGGTCCAGCAACTACTTCAAATGCAATTTGATGGGAAGCCTATACAGGCTGCTTTTGGCTGCAGCCCTTGTGAAATTTCTGAGGAAGCCTGGGCTCTAGGGAACAGAGCTGGAAAAACACAAATTAGATACGTGCTCAAAAGCCTATCTAGTTTTGATGATTTATATACAAAATTTGGGTCCCAAACCTTTTCCTTACCTACCTCCAAAGGTGAGGCAAGAGTTGAAGTCATACGGAAGTCACAGCATGATCATCTCTTGTCTGTGTGCCTTCCTGGTTTATAAGGTTCTGTCACATCCGGATTTTATGTCTCTCACTGTAACCTCATGAGGCAGGTGATATAGGTTGTTTACGTGAGAAATAACTAAAGATAAGAGAGATTAAGGGACTTGTTCAAGGTCATATAGCTGGCACAGCTAGGACTAGAACCCCAGAATCTTAACTCTTAAGAAAAGGGGCTTTTCCACATGGCTTGCTCCACAGTGGCAATCAGGGGGCAAGGAGGACTTTGGTAAGCCCCATCCTCTAGCACAAAGACAAAGGACCAAAGCCCAAGGGACACGTATTTGTCTTCAGTTCATAGGGATGGATATCTCAAGTGCCTCTACTTACGTTAGCCTTGCTGAGTATACTCTGAATGTTTCCCTTAAAACAGATGGTCAGTGTGCCTGGAAGGGACACTGGAAGGGAGGATCTAGGGTGACAGCAGGCTCCCTCTGCAGTCATACTTCTAGGGCCAGGTTTCTCAATCCTAAAATTATGGGTTGGAAGGGGCAGTTACGTTACAGAGAGGAGGTGAAAGGCCTGCGAGTGGGTCCTGGTCAGACACCCAGGGCCCTCCTGCTGCCCATAGCCTGCCGGAACCACAGGAACAAGTGTCAAAGCCCAAAGGTAAAGGCCTGAGTGGGCAGGCACTGGGGAAGCAAGATAGTGTGGGGAACACCAGTTGAGTCTGAGTCCCAGTTCACCACCTGTGTGATTCTGACTGGGCCTCAGTTTTCTCATCCGTGAAATGGAGTGAGCCACACCTTTTTGTCCTTTGCTGAGAGTGAGTTCTAGAGTCACCTGACTGGTTTGAATCCTGCTTTTTTCATTTCCTTGAGCAAGTTGGTTAATCTTTATGAGCTTGTCTTGTAAAATGGGAACAGTAAAAAAACCTTCTCATAGGTCATGGGAATTAAGTGAGAAAATGCAATAGTGTACACTTAAACACTCATTAAGAAGGTGGATCTCACATTTAGCGTTCCTACCACAATAAAATATTTTTTTGTTTAAAGAATGCATGTAAAGCACTGTTCCTGGTACATACTAAACACCCAGTAGATGGTAGCACTGATGATGGCAATGGTGGTGGAACCTGTAATTTTATTACAAGTAGCTGTCTTTGCAGGGTGAGCATATGAGAGAGCAAATGACTCAGCCAACAGAGGCCCACTGTTGGGTTCGAGAGGTTCTCTGTGAGGATGGCTCAGAGCTGGAACCTTTGGATACAAGAACATCACTGGTGATAACTGTCACAGGCAAACTAAACCTGGTGGTCCCAAGCTGGAGGACTCTTCTGCCTGGTGCCTTTGCCCAGCACTCTGCCTCAGAAACTTGGTTATCTCTTCCCCAAGACTATGCTTCTCTGAGCAAAGGTGGTGGCTCCAACTTTCCTGACCACATTTGACAAAGTACCCCAGTGTGAGGGGCCCCTCTGTTCCCTCCATAAGGCTCCAAGACATTTAGCACAGGAGGTGGTTGGCTGGGCGTGGCATGCATGTAAATACAGGAATACTACATGCATGCTCACAGGCATATTCTCAAGCACATGTGCTCCCCAATTGAGCTTCTGGGAGCCTCACATCCCCTCCCCCACCTCACCTCCCCCACCACAAAAGCCACAGGTAACAGCAGTCCCCAGTAACAGAGCAGACACAATGCAAAATCCAAATGCAAGCTTTATTGCCAGGTTGTTTTCAGTATCTAGCAGGATGTGAGCCCAGGTGGCTAACGGCTTGGCTGGCCAGAGAAAACTACCCCTCACCCCCCAACAACAGTGGGCTCAGAGAGCCAGGAGAGGGCTGGGAGGTAGGCTGAGGGATTCTCCATGGTTGCCAAAGGTCAAAAAAGTTGAACTGCCGGCCGGCCCATTCCTGTCCCACCATGTACCAATCAAACACTGTGTGTCCTTGGACAGATCCCACCCTACCTGGAATTCAGTTTTCCTATCTGTAAAATGGGGAAACCAGCTATTTGCCTCACAGCTTAAGGGTCATCTAAGGATGCTGAAGGATTTAATAGTATTGTCACTGTGGCTGCACTTTGGAAAGTTAAAAGGGCTTCCATATGCCAGGAAATTTGAGATAGTGATTGGGCGTCACTGTTCAGGCTGTTCCCAACTTTGGGTAGGGCCATATTCCAGAGGGCTTCCCTCATTCCCTCCTACCCCATGGCCAAATTCCTATGGCTTAACTCCCTATCCTATCACTTAGCATCAAGCCAACCCAGGGTTTAGGAGTGATGAGCTCACATGTTAGGTGAAGGGCTGGTAACATGCCTCTGGGGTGGCAGTATGACATCAGAGGACTCAACCACCCTCCCTTCCTCTCCCTCTATAGGCACAATAGGAAGCCCGGAAGCAGCCCTTGTTCCTTCAGCCTATGGGCAGCAGCCAGGAGGTCATTGTAGAGCCATGTACAGATGGGGGTGGCCTGAGGCAGCCTCAAGGGTGTAGAAAGACCAAGGAGTTAGAAGCCAGTATGAGCGAACAGCTCTGCTGGTTTTAGGATGGGGCTTTCCCAGGACCATGGGGCCCCTGGGAGTAAGGCACTGCCCTATATTGGCCTTTGGGGGGCAACAGCAACAGGCTCTGCCAGATTATAGGTTAGGCCTACTGGGCTCACTGGAGGAAAGAAACTAGCTGGTTTACTGTCATGGGATTGGGAGCAGAGGGTAAGGGGGCCAAGAGGCCCTGAGTCCCTGGGGCTTGGTCCTGGAGAAGGAGGCTGAGGGCAAAGGTTTCCAGGCAATTGGGCCAGCAGGAGCTCTTGGGGCTTGGGTGGTGCAGGGTGAAGTAAGCTGAACAAGAGGGTTAGCTCTGGAGTCCTGGGCCTCTAGATACTCCAGCCAAGGATAGCAAGAGTGGAGGCTGCCAACAGAGAGGACAGGAAGGCAGTGCATGGAGCCCTTGCTGACAGTGGCTCTGTGTGCTGCTGCAGCCACTCGAATTCCTCCAGCAGTTGGCGTCGCTGCAGCTCAGGGCCCACCTTCTCACGGATGGTCTGGTAGTAGCGGTTCAGGTATTGGAGCTGCAAAGGGTAGGAGGAATGAGATCTTCCCCAGTGTGAGCTGTCAGGAGCTGAGGTCTTGGTGCCATCCAGTCCCCTTCTGTGGTAATCCAGCTGCCTACCTTGGCCCAGGTACCCACAGGCACCCCATAGATCCCCAATATGAGATTTATGCACTTAGCACCCCACCTTTGGTGCTTCCCTCCTGATTCTCCAGCCATTCATCAGGCCTAAGGGGTCCTCTGGGGCTTTTCAGAGGCAGTTTGACACAGTGGCTGTTTAATGTCATAATGACTTTCTTGGGTGTGTGTGTGGGTGGAATGGATTGCAGACCTGGGAATGAGAATAGGTAGGGCAGGCATTATTATCCCATTTTACAGAAGAGGGGTCTGTGGCCCAGAGTGGAGAAGGGATTGATTTTAGTTCTAGGACTTGAGATGGCAGAGTCGAGAGACCCAGTGTCAGACTCTCCAGGAATTTACTACCTGATTTGACTGGAGCATTCTAGAATCTCTGAAGTTTCTGGTGAGTGAGGAAGGAATATCCCAGTGTATACCTACAGATACCACCAGTGTGGACCCTCCTAGCAGAGAGGAAGGGTCAGAGGGTCTTGGGGTAGGGGGAGCAGAGGTGAGAGAGGCCCAAGGTGGAGAAGGCAAGCAGTGGTTCAGGGGCTGAAGGGTAGACTCACCTGCTCAGAGGACAGCAAGCTGACATCAATGAGGTTCCGGTCATAGGGCACCAAGGACACCACTTCAAAGGTCAGGTAGGTCCCTGGGTACTGGGAGGCCACAGGGAAGGTGGAAAAGCAGAAAGTGAGTAAGGAGGAGGAGCTAGGGTGAAGGAAAGGCAGAAACACTACCCAGAAGCCCTGGGCACAGGGAATTGACCTTTTTTAAATCCAAGACTCAAGGGAGGTCTGAGCCTCCTACATTGTCTTTAGTTAACTCCTTTTCTACCACTTAGCACCCCACCTTTGGTGCTTCCTTCCTGATTCTTAAGTTTAGATTTAGGTATGTATTTCTCAGTGTGTGCATCCACACAGCACCTAGGGAGCTTGTTAAATGTGTGGATTCCCAGACCCATCCTCCCAGACCACTGGAGTGAGAATCTCTAGGGCAGAGCTGGGAACCTACAATTAAATAATTTAAAGATAAGTATTAGATTTTTATATTTATCAATCTAATTTCTATTTGTACATCTATCTATCTGTGTCTTTCTATCTATGTATCTATTGATGGATCTATTTATAGAGATAAGTATAAAGAAGAAAAAATAGCCCATAATGTTATCTCAGAGCTCTTGCATGTATGTGCTTAGAAAATTCAAACTACAAAAAGATACCTTCCTGTCTACTTTCCTTCCTGAAAACATTTTAGGCATAATACAGTATATACATGTATATATTTTAAAAATTCATGTAAAATGGACCCTATCATACAATACTCTGCACTTTCTTTTCCCTGCCTCACTTCAATAGTAAACCTAGGAGAGTATTCCATATTAACACAAGGAGATGCAGCTCATTCTTTTTTGTTTGTTTGTTTTGTATTACAATATAAATTTTTTTAATTTTATTGTTGACAGTATTACAGATGTCTCCCATTTTCTCCCTTTTTGTCCCCCCACCCAAAGCCCTTCCCACCCCAGGCCTTCCCCATGCTATTGTCTGTGTCCCTGGTTATGCATATATGTTCTTTGGCTAATCCCCTCCTCCTTGACACCCCCCACTGAGATCTGTTATTCTGTTCCATGCACACCTCTGGACCTATTTTGTTTTTTAGATTCTACTTATGAGTGAAATCATGTGATATTTGTCTTTCTGTAACTGGCTTATTTCACTTAGCTTAATAGTTTTCAGGTTCATTCGTGCTGTCACAAAGGTTAAGAGATCCTTCTTTTTTATGCAGCTTGTTCTTTTTTTTTTTTTTATCCTCACCCGAGGATATTTTTCCATTTTTTTTTTGTTAAGGTAGAGTGGGAGGGAGAGAGAGGAACAGAGAGAGAGAGAGAGAAACATCGATGTGAAAGGAACACACAGAGTGGCTGCCACCCGCACAACCAACCAGGGCCGGGGACAAACTGCAACCGAGGTACGCGCCCTTAGCGGGAACCGAACCCGGGTCTCTCAGGACCGCAGGCCGACGCTCTAACCGCTGAACCAAACCGGCCAGGGCGCAGCTTGTTCTTTTTAAGGGCTGCATAAGGATCCATAGTATGTGGATCATGATTTATTTAACCAGTGATAGATATTTAGGCTATTTCTACTTAAACTATTACCATTGATACCACAATCAACATCATTGTATATAAACATCTTGGTGACCTTTTGTGACTATATCTAGAAGGTATGTATCTGGTAGAGGGAATGCTGAGACAAAAAGTACAGGCATTTATAATAGAAATTTTTATAGATATTGTCAAACTGCCCTCCAGAAGGGTTGTACCAATCTGTATTTCCCCCAGCAGTGTATGGGAGTGCCTGTTTCCCACAAAATCACCAGCACTGGGTATCATCAGTCTTATTTTCTTCCAATCAGATAGGTGAAACATAGTATTCTACTGTTTTGATTTGTATTTCTTTTAAATAATTAATTCGAGCATCTTTCATGTTTATGGATCATGTGTTGATCTTAGTGAGTTGCCCCTTTGGGTCCTTTGTCCTTTTTCCCCCTGTTTTCCCTATTTTGTCTTATCGATTTGTCAAAGCTTGTTGTAAAAGGACATTTACCCTTTCTCTGACATGTGTTGTGTTTGTGATACATCTTTTGACTATGGTACTGTTTCCATATAGATATATTTTATTTAATTTAGTCAGAATTATCAATCTTTTCCTTCACAGCTTCTGGGTCTTGCATAGAAAGACCCCTTTCCACCCTAGGATTAAAAATGAATTCATGTAGGTTTTCTTGTAGATCTTTTATGATTTCACATTTAAACCTTGATCCATTTGGGATTGTATTTTGGTGTAATAGTGAGATTCTTCCATTTAATCCCCACCCCAAATGATCAGCCACTTATTCTTCCTTCCCCTTATTAAACAATCTCTCTCTTCTTTACTGTTTTGAAATGTCAACTTTATTGTAAACTAAATACCCATTTTGTTCATGGATATTAGAGGGTTTATTTCTGGGCTACCTTTTGTGTTCCATTGTTACACGTGTCTCTCCCATCTCCAGTGTCACACTGCTTTAGTTATGGTAGCTCCATAGCATGTGTTAATATATGAAAAGGCTAGTTTCCCTTATTGCTCTTTTTTTCTTAGAATTTCCCTAGTTATGTAGCTATTTTTTAAAATCCTCATTGCAGGAAATGTTTTTATTGATTTTTTAGAGAGCAAGTAAAGGAGAAAGAGAGAAAGATCGATTGGTTGCCTCCAGTACACACCCCAACCAAGGATCGAACCCGCCACCTGGGTATGTGCCCTGACAGGAAATTGAACTCACAATTTTTCAGTGTACTGGATGACACTCCAACCAACTGAGCCACATGGACCAGGGCAGTAGCTATAATTTAATGTTAATTTTTACAAATAAACTTTACTAGCATTTTGTGAATTTACAGATCAATTTAGAGAGAAATGACATCATGATAATATTGAGGCTTCTTTTCAGAAAGCACCATTTACTGAAATCCTTTTTATGTCCCTGAGTAGAGATTTTATCCATGTAAGTTTTTAAAAGTTTCCACCTAGGTATTTTATCTTGTTGGTTGCAATTATATGAAATTGTTACTTCTAAGAAACTCCCCTGGTGATTATTATGTGCATTGAGAAACAATGATTTAGGGCAGGTATACTGATTCATTTAATCTGGAGTGGGACCTGGGCATTGGCATTTAAAAAGAGCTCTCTAGATGGTTCTAATAGTCTAATATGCAAATAGGTTTAAGAAACTATGATTTATGAAATTTTTCTGGAGCTAAGGAAGACTCCAAATAAATTCATGTCTACACATTCAGATGCCCTTCTCCCCTGACCTTTTAACCTTCTCTAGAAACCCCCCCCACACACACACAGTCCAAAGTCATTACCATATTGTTCAAATTCCTGCCTATCTCGGTGGCACTTTACCTTGGTCTTTGCTTCTACCACGAGGGCCACATCTTCAAGACGGATCCCAAATTCACCATCCTGATAGTACCCAGGTTCTGGGAAACACAGGGATGCTAGTGACATTAAGTAGGGGGAACACCCGAGCCAGACTTCCTATACCAATTGAGGAATGGGTACAGGGTATGGCTGCCTGGCTGCCCTCGGCTGGTGGCTGGGGCAAACCCACCACTTGTTAGATGTTCATTAGCTACCCAGAGACAGCCTGCTGGGCCTCAGCTCCCTCACCCTCCCTTGTAGCCCAGTGAGGAAGACTTTAGGGCCCACATAGGTCCTGAAGGTACTCCCATCTCCCTGTGTGCCACTGTTCTGTTACCCCAGCATTTAACTGGACACTCTATAATTTGGATGGGCAGCCGGGAACCAACTCCCAAAAGCAAAAGGAGGGTATGGACTGAAGGGGGCTGGGGTTAGGGTGGGACAATCCATTTGAAACTGGGAGTGGGGAGTAGAGGGAGGGCAGCACTGTAGCCCAGGTGTGCCTGTGCCTGTCATGCTCCCTAGACTGCAGTCCTGGGTTAGTCTTGGGGTGAGGAGGGGTGGAGTAGCCCAAGAGTCATACCAATGGAAGTGAACATGCCCTTGCCCATAGTAAGGCCGCTGGAATGGAATCCCACTGGCCCTGGAAAGGAAGATGTAGGTAAGGTGTCAGCTCTCCTGTACTCACCAGCTTGGAACCTAGCAGGCTCTGGGCAACAGCAAGTAACTGGGGAGCCCTGGGCACTTCTAGCCACACTTGTCTACGATATTATTGTCTTCCTGTGACTGATACAGAATACATTGGCACTAGCTTTTATTTCTGCAGGGTATATACCAGTCAGCCACTAGGTATTGACCTGCTACTCCTCTCTCTGTGCCCCTCCCAGATGCCAGGCAGGCAGCAGGAGTGGCCAAGCTGCTAGCATTTCTTAATTACCCCATGGAGCATCACATCCCACCAGCTGGGTAACCTTGGGTGGGTCACTGCATCTCTAAGAGTCTTGACCATTTCCATAGCCCTGAAAGGCTCTACCACCTTCAGAAGAAGGGGAACCCCTAGGGAGTGTTGAGGAGATACTTACACTCATGCACACACAGGAAGTTGCCAATTCCATGGCCTGTCCCGTGACCATAATTGAGCCCAACATCCCATAAGGCTTTGCGGGCAAAGGCTTCCAACATCAGTCCTAGAAGAGAGATGACCCCTAGTTAGTCAGCTGGACCCCAGACTGTTCACCTTGTTCCTTCTTGCTCTCTTGTTTCAGAGCCAACTACCAGGATAGTGTCTGTGGAGAGGGGCTGCTGAGAGGCTGGTAAGCATGTACTATCTCCAGCACACCTAACATTGTACCCATTACCTGGACTGATGACTACTACAATTTCTCCCCATCTGTCAAGACACATATTTTCTCCAGGAATCCTCCCATGACTTCTGAAGCACACACTAACCTCCCCAACCTGAGCTACCCTTAGATTAAGAGGCAGGATACCTGGATTCGAGGCCTGACTTTCCTAGTGACCCTTTATGTAACCTTGGGCAAACCACTTTCTCTCTCTGGGCTGTATTTTCTTCTCTATACAATGTATGGGGTGATATCGTCCCTACCCCAGCCCTCCTTGAATGGTGGTCTGAGTCTAGTGAAATCAGTGCCTAAGGCTCTAGGTCTAGCCTGGCCTCTGAAACCTACCTGATGTGGCAGCAGGAAAGATGAGTCTGGACAGATCCATATTTCCAATCAACACACGGGTATATGCCTCCTGAAGGGGGAAGAGGGAGAAGTAATGTGGTGCACAAGAGGGGTAGCCTGAGAGTTTCCAGTTGGTTGGCCTGTGTATCTGTAGGTGTGTGGGCCCTGGCCTGTGTGTGTGTATGTGTGTGTGTGGGGATGTTGGATGGGAGGTGTATGTTCATGTGTGGTCACTCAGGTTCTGGAAGATGGCCAGAGGTGACTGAGGAGACCTGCCCAAAGCTGGGGCTTGGTCCATGCAGTTCTCTTTGGCTGGTCCATGGGATGCTTGTAGGTCATGGTGAGCTGAGGCAGTGACAGCATGGGCTTGGGAGGCAAACTCCCTGGGCTGGTATCCTGACTTGGCCATTCACAAACTCTGAGACCTTAAGTGAGCAACTTTAACCTCTCTATGTCTCACTTTCCTCATTTATAATGGGACAAGCACAGCACCAGCTCATAATGTTGCTGGGAGGAATAGGGAGGCTCATGCACATAAAGTGCCCCAAGCAAAGTAATACTCAAGTTGAGGTCTGTGCCCTTATTACCATTACCATGTTCATTCTTTAGTTTTCTTACGGTTGTAAGCTTGGTTTGGGGTCTGATAATCTGACCAGTCAGACTTTTTTGGTCAGGGCTGTTACCTTGTTGGAAAAGGAAGGAAAGTGGGCTGACAGCAGCCTCTTCTCCTGGTCACTCCTTGTGGCAACATGGTGAGTCCCCTTCAACACACACACACACACACACACACACTTATCATCTTGGGCAGGACAGCCTGGGGCAGCGGACTCAACTCGCTAAACTGAGTTCCTTGAGGCCTACCCAGTGTCGGCTATTTCTGTTTACAGCACAATGCCTGAACTACAGTCTGCTTGTTGAATGCATAAATGCAGCCCCCTGCTTCCCACCTGCCCCAGGGCCCCCCTAGTGCACATAGATGAGGTCTCTGCCTCTGCACCAGGCAGACCAGCCCTCAGTGCTTCCTGAAAAACTCCAGGTCCTTTCCACCTCTGAGACTTTACTCCTGGAATGCCTTTCTTCCGCCTTTCTGCTGAGCACAGGGCTAGGCACACAGTACCAAATAAATATTTGTTCATTGATTTACTGAAATGAGATGATAATAAGCTTGGGCATATCTAAATGAATGCCAGTCACATCATGGTTATGTACCAATTTCAATGACAGCACACAGGTAGCCACACAGACTGTGAAGCTCTGTTGGTGGCCTAAAACATCTCTGGGGAAGTACCTGGGAACACTGGATTTTGTGATATTAACTTGCCGTGTGAACGTGGGAAAACTATTTAACCTCTCTGGGACTCAGTTTTAGATTCTGTAAAATGAAAGGACTCTTAGTAATTTCTTGGGTTTCCCTGAATGAGAGTGGGTAGCGGAAATCTTGGTCCAATACTTACCTTTTGGAAAGCAGAGGGGGTGCCCCAGTGGACTGTTCTGGTGATGTCTGTGGTTCCGTCCCTGTGTAGAAGGAAAATCAACATGTCCAGCTCTGCTGAACAACTGGGGGTAGAGAGCATGGCCCTGTGCTTCCTGTGTGCTTTCTAAGAGTATTTGAATGGCAGGGCTGGGATGGGGGTGGGGTGAGAAGTGAAAGGAAGATGGCCATCATCATCAAATGCCCATCTTCAACATTCTTGCTTGAAAGGGCTCTGCAAAGCTATCAAGTTCAAATCACTATATTGTCAGATAGTCCTGATTTTTCAAGAACATACCCTACCTCCATCCCTTCCATGTTGGCTATTTATCAACTTAGGTTTGCTTGGGTCAGGCTGACTCTAAAAACAAGGTTTTCCCCAGGCTTTGTGAGAGGTGGGAGGGGATTGTTCCATTTTTACAAACGGAGAAACTGAGGTCCAAAGACATCATAACATTCACACATTCACATAGTTATTTACCATCTATATAACACTTTGGGCAGCTTCCTGGGGAAGGAAATAAAGCAGGCCTCATTATCCCCATTTCACAGATGAGGCAACTGAGGGTGGGGGGCCATGTCCCTGTCTGAGTCTCAGTGAAGCGAGACCTGCAGCAAGAACTCACTCTCCACACAGTGGCTCCGTTGTAAACATGGATCTAACACAGGAATTTGCCCAGTAAACTGAAGCCAGAAGCCAAAAAATCTGACTCCCAACTACCAGCTGCAGCTGTTCCCCTAGGATGGCCCATGTAACCACCCCCAGGAGAAGGGGAGGGGATAAATGGTCCCAGGGCCCTGGAGACTCCTTCTTGGGAGCAGGTTACAGGATGTGGCAGACTTCTCCAGAAGGAGAGAAGAAATGAGGTGACCATTTCCCAGGCCTCCCCGTGCTCTGAGCATGCCCCAGTCCAGCAACACCCCACAAATTAACTTCCCCTTTGCACATTGGCTGTCTTAAGTACACAGTGAGCTACAGTGGCAACATTAAAGGCTGCTGGGCTGAGTGTCTGTTGTGCTGGCTCTGAGAGCTGGGCTCAGAACATGCAAAGTACCTTTGTCATTAGCACATTCACCATTTCTACAGGATAAAGGATGGCAACTGTTGGAAACCACTCCTTATTCCTCCATCAGTTCCAGCACCCCTTCTTTCTCCCACTTTAAGCTTCCCACAGTCCACCTGCTTCCTAGATGAGAAGGAAAACTCTTCTAGCTCCTCTCAGCTCAGCTCCTGTGTGAATGATTGGTCACATATTTGGAAGGAGTGAGGTTAGCCTATTTTGCATGGCTGTCATATCTGAGTGTTCAGGTTGTGCACTGTGTAAGGGTAATACATCTGAAGGGACGCCATTCACTTCATGGTTCTGTACTAATTTTAATGAGAGAATATAAGTAGACACAGATTGTGGAGTCCTGGTGCAGGGGGATAGTACATAGAAGAGTGCCCTTCATGTGGTTATACATGCACTTAGAGGAACACACACACATTTCTACTCACAGACACATACCCATGCTAATGGGTGTGCCCTGTCTCAGCTGTGCTCTGGGTGTCCCCTGAGGCTGCTATTCTGCCCCCACCCCCAACCTGACATGGTCACTTCACCCATGAAGGTCGGAGGGGAGGGTGCTGAGGAGAATGCATGGCACTGGTGGTGTGAGGGCTGTGTCCAGGGTGTGCATGAGTGTGTGAGAGTATGAGTGCACTGTTTGTGCAGCCAGGTGGGGCTGCTAAACATGGCTGTTCAGACTGTGTAATAATATGTGGCCTGAAAAACATTTTATTTGAGCAAGAGGAATATTTTCCTGATTCTCACAGAGGTGCTGCATGGGCAGCCTCACTGTTTTGGTGTCTGTGTGTTTCCCACTATGCACAAACGCCACCAGCCCCGCCCCGGCCCCGCAAGTGTAAAAATGGGAAGGCTCATTCAGTGTAGGGCTCTCCCTTCTCTGATGAAGAATCTGTGCCCAGAAAAGGAAAGCTTTGGGCAGCTATTGTCCAGCCCAGGGTGTCTGGGCTGAGACAACTGGGTCAGGGTGTGGTGGAGGCTACATACCAGTATTGTCCCCCAGAATCCACCAGGTACATTTCATCTGAAGACAGCTTGCGGTGTAGCTCCTTGCTTGGGCTGAGAAGGGCAGAGATGCTGAGAAAAGGAGCAGCCTATCCCTGCACTGGGTAGGGTGAGGGTCCTGAATGAAAGCGGAGGAATCCCCCCTCACCCCTGGGAATTGGAATTCCAGGTTGACTCCTTTGGGGAAGTCATTATCTCCCAAAGGGTCCTAAGAAAGCCCTCAGCTTCTGCCACTAATGTCCTCAGCAAGTATCTGTTTATCTTGTACTTCACAAGCAAGGCCTTGGTCTCCAGGGAAGAGAGAAGGAAAGAGCCCAGAATATGGGAGCTGGGAAAGCCTTAGAGAGCACCCACGGCACCCATCTTCTTTTACATAAGAAGAAACCAGTCTGCAGAGGCCAAGGGGGTTGCAAAAGGCCATGGGGTAAAGCTGGGAGGGAGCTGGGCCTGGACTCTTTAACTTCCTACTGCTTCCTAGAGCAGAAGGCCCTGAGAAGCCAGGGTACAGGAAGGGAGGGTACCCAAGGGTGGGGCTGGAGAGCAAGGTTTGGTAGGGCTGAGGGGTTCCTACACATGCCAAGGCAGATGAGGGCTTGGGAGATGCCAGGAGAGGGAATTCTAGGATAGGCCAGACTAGCCCTTGGAGGGTGCCTGACCTATCCTTGTTGTGCTCATGCTAGGCTGAGGCATCTGGTCAGCTTGACTCCCCCCTAAATTTTATCAGGCAAGCCTACAGGTGTTTGTTTCCTATGGATCCAAACATATGGCCAGCCTACATCTTGGGCCCACCTTAGTTGGTTCAGGCTGAATAAACAGGCCTTTCTCCCCATGTGCTTGTGAGCTTTAAGAATTAAATAACATAAGTAACTCGCAAGGCACCAAGGAAAAACATCTATCAGCAGCCCTGCCTCTCTTCCAGATCCCTTAGAGCACTCACAGAGTCCCAGCCTCTTGGGGGAAAATTGTGCAGGCCTTTTTTTTTTTTATCCTTACCCGAGGACATTTTTCCATTTTTTGTTCAGATAGAGGGGGAGGGAGAGGAAGAGAGAGAGAGAGAAATATTGATGTGAAAGGGACACATCGAGTGGCTGCCACCCGCATGACCAACCAGGGCCGGGGACAAACTGCAACCTAGGTACGTGCCCTTAGCGGGAACTGAACCTGGGTCTCTCTGGACTGCAGGCCGATGCTATAACCACTGAGCCAAACCGGCCAGGGCTGTTCAGGCCTTTTAATTCCAAGGAGATTCCCAACCTACCCACTGGGCTCCACTCCCCACACCCAGCCCCCACAGTGTTAAAGGTTTCAAAGCTTAAATATGAAGTCAGATCCCAGAGCATTCCCTTCTCCATCCCCATGCCCCCTGCTCATATATCCAGGATCCCCCCCACAGAGTCCTAGAAAATTCTTTCTTCTGAGGTACCTGTAGTGGGCTAGGGCAGCATTTAGACCACTAGCAGAGATGGTTTTGAAACTGGGTCCAGAGGAAAACTCTTCTTCTCTGCAAAGTACAAGGCAGGAATGGTCAATGAATGGGCCCAGGATATCTAACAAGGACAAATAAAGGTCACAGCCGCCTCTAACTCAGCCAGACTTTCTCAGCCCCACCTCTTGGTTCCATCTTCTCAAGCCCTGACCTGCCATTTATAGAGCACTCAAGGTCAAAAGAGGGACTATAGACACCAGTTATTCCTCTTCCACCTCCATTTTACAGATGGGGAAACCAAAGCCTGTGTGACTCGATGTGTTCGCAGTAAAGCAAGAGTGAAGAAACCTAGCTCACTGTATTTAAAAATTTCAATGGAGCAGCATCCTGAACCTCAGACCTACAGCCTGCCTACACCTGGGCCAAACATACCCTTAGGAAACTTCCATCCTCAACTTGATAGTCTCAAATGGTCCAGGGGCCAATAGACCTGAACCAGCTACTCCCAGGGAGAACAGGACTATCCCTGAAGCAGACACTAGGGGACAATGTTGGCTTGTGGTGTCTGAAATTGTCCTACTGTGGGGGGGGGTGGGGCTCTGGAGAATGTTTCCAACACTTCTTGCCCAATTCCAGGACCACCCAAGAACTGGTCACTCCTTGTTCCAGAGAGGCCCCCAAATACAAGGAGGATCTTCCCCCACTTAAGTATGGGGATTGATTTCCTCTCCCTTCTCCCATCCCTAAATTAAAAGATAGTCAGCTAAAAAGGACAGCCATTGGTCCTTCACCCTCGGAATTTGTCCAGCAGCTTTGCTCCTGAGAACTCGTCTACTGTGCCTTTGGGTACGTTCTTCTCCAGCCAGACCAAGTAGCGGATCACTGGCACGGCATCCCGCACCTGGAGTGGGGCAAGCAGAGAAATCAGCTGAGAAACAGTCTCAGCCAAGGCTTTGGGTTGATGAGATCAGGTAACTGCTCTGGGAGCTGAACTTTAAGAACATGAGGGTTTCACCAGCTATTTGATAATATAAAGGGATTCTTGTAAGTGTTTATTTACATGATCTCAGGGTGGTGACGTTTTTAAGAGTCCTGATCTTTTTAGAGATATTTACTGATGTGTTGACAGAAAAAAAGGATATAAAGGAAATCTAGGGATTTGCTTTAAGGTCACCCAGTAGCAGAAGGTGGGGAGTGGAGGAAATGAATGTGGGCTTGCACAGAAAATGGGATGGACCATACTTGATGACGGTTGAAGCTCAATGATGGTGCATGGAGATCATTATGCTATTTTCTTGAACTTCACATGTGTCTAAGATTTTCCATGAGAAAAAGTTTTCTAAAATGAGGAGCTTTATCCTTATTTTATCAGGAATATTCAAAAGAGTGAGCCATCCTCTTGCCAGGGTGAGAAAATCATTACACTGAACACTTACTGAAAACTTAAAATGTGCCAGACGGTGCTCATAGCAATACATGTCATTTAATATTATAATTATATGTATACAATTATATACAATTACAAATTTATATAATTATATATTTATATGTATATACACATTATATATGTAAATGTATATGCATACACACATTTATATAATATATGATTATATTATAATGAATATATTTAAAATATTTAAACATATACATATCTTAATCATTTATTAATATTTATTATATACAGCCAGCCCTCATTAGTCACAGATTCTGTATCCATTGATTCAACCAACCATAGATCAAGAATATTTGAAAAAATATTCAGAAACTTGATCCCTAAATGACACAGTATAACAACTACAAAGTGGGGCAAAAGTAGGTTTACAGTTGTTTGTATGGAAAACAATACAATAACTAATAATGCAAGAATAAACTCTGTTTTGTGTACTCACAACTGTAAACCTACTTTTGTCCCACTCTCTAGTTATACCATATTTGCATTGCATTTGGTATTATAAGTAATCTAGAGATGATTTAAAGTACATGGGAGGATGTATGTAAGTTATATGCAAATACTATGCCATTTTACATAAGGGACTTGAGTATCTGCAGATTTTGGTATCTGAGGGGGTCTTGGAACAAATCTTCTGTGCATATTGAAGGATGGATGTTATTTATGTTATAATATATGTGTTTTATATATACATATATTACATATAGTATAATATATATTGTATAATATATTTATTTACTTTTATTTAATCTTTAAAACAACCCTCTGTTATAGATTACTATTATAATCCTCATTTTACAAATGAGATAACTGAAGCCCAGAGAGGTGAAGTAACTTGCCCAAGGTCACCCAGCTAGGAGGTGAGTGGAGGAACTGGGGTTTGAAATCTGACACCCTAGCTCCAGGGCCTGTATTCTGAAGCACTGCACCATGCTGGGAGTAAGGGAGTAAAGCACTAGTGGGTGCCCAAGAATTCTGTGTCCACTTCTCTGTTTCATTGAAGGGGTTTCTTCAGGCTTCTCCTGCAGGGTATCTTTTCTAACCCTTCAGACCAGGAGCTCCAAAAAGGCTATTCTGTCTGCCCATAGACTTACGTGACTGGCCCTGAGGAGGGCCTGTTCCTTGCTGTTTTTCACCGCCTTGGTTACCATCACTGGGGAGTAGGTTTCTTCTATGAGTTTATCCTGTGTGGGCAAAGAAGAGGAGATCTAGGAACCCTTTCCAGGGCACAATCGTGTTTGAAAAGGATTGGCAAGAAAGCCCGGCTAAGGGGAGACTTGTCCATCCCTATAGATGATGATTTTTCCTTGTGTGCTTTCTGGCTATGCAGGGCTTTCCTAGTCTTCCATAGCCAACTTAACCATTCTTTCCTCCCTGCCCCTGGATCACTCCCTGCCTCTGGATCACACCAGCATTCTGGGATGGATCAGCCAGTAGTTGGCTGCATGAGTTTCCTGCACATATCATACCCTAACACCTGTCACTTACTGAGTGTGCCGGGCACTGGGTTTCTCACTCACCATCTCCTCTAACGTTTCTCAGAGCAACTCTTCTGAGGCTGGAACTCTTAGCATCATTTTACAGGTGAGATAACAGAGGCCCAGCTTGGCTAACTCAGTTGTCCAAGGTTGTTGCATAGCCAGTTCCAGGCAAAGCCAGGACTCAGTCTCAGGTTTGGTGACTTCAAAGCCTCTGGCTCTACCAGGCTGTACTCCCTCTAGCTTCCTTGACAATCTCTGAGTTCTCTGTGGACAAACATGAGGTTCTTCTTCCTTCTCCTCACAAGGAGGCCTAGAAGGGGACTCACTGCACCATTGTTGACTGACCAACTGCCTGAATGGACGAGGGGCTGTGGCCCCACTTTAGGTGAGACTTATCAGGGCTGGAATGAGGCAGTGCCTGGCCCAGGTTGGGGCCTGGCAAACCCACCTTGGGTATCACTTTGTAGAACGCATACATAGTATTGCTGGTCCCAATCCAGATCCTCACAGCTCCTGAGGTGTAGGCTTGGACGCTGTCATAAACTTGGTTATAATCTTCGAGTTGCACACACATGGGGCCTGTGCAGCTGGAGTTCAGATACTGCAGGGTCTCAGAGTTAAAGCGACTCTTGTTTACAAATAACCTGCGTGGGAAGGCAAGACCGGGAGGCCCTGAGAGTCTCTCAGGACAATGCAAAGGACCAGAGGTTGCTGGAGGTCAGAGAGCTGGAGCAGTCCAGATTTGGAGTAAGTGGGAACAGGGGTCAAAGGGTCAGGAAAAGCTCCATGCTGATGAGAAGGCTGCATATTGTGGTAGGGAAAGTGCTGGAGCAGTGAGGGGTATACATTGGAGGAAGTCCCCCACAGCAAGCCAAGGAAAAGTCATACCTGATAGAGGAGTCCGTGAGCAGTGCGTAGGAATAGAAGAAAGGGTTATAAGGGATGTCGCTACTGCGAAGATTGAAGAGCCCTGGGGAAGAGGATGATGGGGACTATTTATGAGGCTGAACTGCCTGAAGCCAGTACATTTGAAGCCTATGCCGCATTATTTGCTTTGGCGCCCCAAAGATTGCCAGTAGCACACCTGCTTCATCCACCTTTGATGTTTCTTAGTCTTTGTGGATGGGGGTATCTTTGAGGTGGGGATGAGAACTATGGACTCTTTCTCCCAGAAAAATGCAAATACCCAGCCAGCAGTAAGCACACAGTTTCAGTGGGTTCTCAGATTATCTGAAGCTTTGAGCTAGGGTCAGGTAAGAAGCCCTGAGCCACATAGGGACAGAACAGAGCCTCACTGGGTGCTAAAGCTGGATGTGTGAGTGCCATGAGATGGTGGTCAGGCTGCTGGGAGTTGTTTGCTGGGCCTCTTCCCCTTCATAAGACAGAAACCCTTGCCTGACCATAGGGTCAGGCTATTCCTCCAGTGGCCTGGGGGCTGGCCCCAGATTGCCCTGGGCTTCCTTGTTGCCTTATTCAGCAGACATGATTTCCTTCTCCTTCCCCTTGGTTCCCCATGGCCACAGAGCTCTCAGAACTGGTGAGTACCTGGTAGTTAGGGGAGGAGTCCTGCACTGCCCGCCCAGGAAGACTGGAGGATGGGGGGAAGTGTCTGCAAATCTGTACTCACAGGCTGTCTCATCAAGCATCGACAGAAGCACAGCAGTTGGGGCCTTGCGATGTTTTTGCATCTGGCTGCGGATGCTAGATACTTTCTCCTGCCAGGTGCTCCCTAGAAGCAAAGGAGTCCCCAAAAAGCATGAGTAACATACCTTCTCTTTGACACTTTGTCTCTGAGGGGGCTCCCTTGGGCAATAGTTTTCCATTTCTTTAAAAGCAGTAGAACTCTTTCTTCAAACAAACTTCTACTTGTGTAGTCATTAGGGCTATGGGCTATGGACCCAGACTATCTGGGTTCAAATTCTAGCTCTGCCATTACTAGCTGGGTGACCTTGGGCAAATTACTTAGCACCTTTGTATCTTAATTGGCACATATGTAAAATGAGAATAGATCATAGTGATGGTATCATTAAGGTTGTTATGAGGATCAAATGAATTCATATATTTTAAAAATTGTAATAGAATTTATTGGGATGACATTGGTTAATACAATTATATAGGTTTCAAGTGTATATTGTATTATGTGTTCACCACCCCAACTCAAGTTTCCTTCCATCACCATTTATCCCCCCTTTACCCTGAATTCATATTTGTAATGTACATAGAATGATGTATTGGGGTATAGTAAGTCTGGTATAAGTTTCTGATCAATAAATATGCATGCAAAACAGAGATTCACGAAAGCAGCCCTAGTTGAAAGGGCAAAGGAATAGGATTGGGCCATGTTTAAGCCTCTTCCCTGCAGTAACTCTAGTGCTTGATAAGCCACAGATTTGGGCTAAGCACTTTGTATACAGTGTTTTGATTCTTACTTGGCCCATTTTACAGAGTCTTAGGGGAAGCAAAGTGACTTATCTAGGGTCTTATAGCTGGCAAGGGGTGGAGCTGAGATTTGAATCCAGTTTGTTTGACTACATGGCTCACACTCTGTATAGACACTGGACTATCTTGCTAACATTGTCAGTCTCCAAACCTGTCCTTAAACTCAGTGTCACAGAGCTGTCCTTTCTGGGATGCTTATATCCTGGTCCTAGGACTTTAGTTTTCACCTTTTATTCCAGTTCCCTGTAATGCATATAAGGAGTCTACCTCTACACAGGGCTAGGAATTTACTGGCAGAAGGTCATAAGCTCTTCATAGGGTCCTAGTTAGGCTCAGAGATTAGCATGAATAACTGAATGCCATTAAAAAAATTTATGCGAACAGGTAAAACGATTCAATAAGAACTAAAGCTTTGGGTATGATACTTTTTTATTTTAATTTTTTTAAAAATAATTTTCTTTCTTTATTGATTTTACAGAGAGAGTAAAGAAGAGAGAGAGAGAGAGAGAGAGAGAGAGAGAGAGAGAGAGAGAGAGAGAAACATCAATGAGAAAGAAAATCAATTGGCTGCCTCCTGCACACCTCCCACTAAGGATTTGACCCACAACCTGGGCATGTGCCCTGACCAGGAATTGAACTGGTAACCTCTTGATACATGGGTAGATGCTCAACCACTAAGCCACCTGGGCAGGTATGATACTTTTTACTTTGTTTCTAGTCCCCTCACCTTGGGCATGATACTTTGTAAGTTTTATTTTATTTCATTTTGGTAAAACACACATAAAATGTATAATTTCAACCATTTCAAAGTGCACAATTGAGTGACTTTAAGAACACTCATAAGATTGTGCAACCACCATCACTATGCCAGAATATTTTCATCATCAGCAAAGGAACCCCTGCAACCCTACATCGTCACTCCCCATTTGTGCCTTCTCTCATCCCCTGGAAACCACTAATCTGCTTATTGTGACAATGGATTTTCTTCGCAAGATAGTTTGTACAAATGGAACCATCCACTATGGGACCTTCTCTGATTGGCTTCTTCCATCTAGAATTATGTTTTCAAGGTTTATGAATGTGATACATTTTTGAGACAAATAATGAAAGCAAATTTAAATTGTCTGATACATACAGGTATCTTTGAGTAACTAACTTTTCATGTTCTTTCCTTTGCCCTTTGCCCTTTCTGCCCTTCAAAACCTATGAGTTGCTGGAGAAACAGTCTCTCATTTCTATAACCTTAGAGACTCAAGAATTAAGTTTTTTGGGCTTCCAGACCCTTCCTTGAGGACTAGCAGCCTCAAGGAAGGCTTGGTTTCCCCTCACTTGTGGGAAGTGAAAAAACTCATACAGATTGTCTTCCAGTTCCTGGAAGGTTTTCCTCTTTATCCCCTCCCCTTCCCGACATAACTCTGCCATTCTTTGTCTGAAAGAGAAAAGTTTTAGTTTTGATGGAACAGCCTTGGATAGCAAGTTTCTTTAAAAACTGTCAAGATGCAGAAAAAATGATTCTGCAAGTTACATCAGAATGGATAAAGAAAATTAGACACAATTTGAACTTGTTTAATCAGACCTGCTATTTTGAGATTTCCCTCCTGCTGTTTTAAAATTCCTCTCCGAACAACAAATGTACATAAACCTGCATGTGGAAAGGGCCTCTCAGATTGCCCAATATTCCTAGGAATCCAATTCCATTGGTTCGTTCAGAATTCCCAAGAAGGTAGAGGGTGGTGGTGGTCAAGACTCTGATTCACAGTCAGTAGCCTGGTCCTGCCAGGATTTTAGTTACTGCTTACAAGAATCATAGAACATATTGTTCTTTTATGATGTATTTAGATAGTATTAGCAGGTTCAAAATTATTAATGTTAGAGTTTCGAGGGTCAGCTAACTTTCCTTTGTAGTCGGGCTGAAACTCAAACCCTAATCTATGCCACACATTGACCCCAAGCTTATTTACTCCCTTTGTCCACCCCAGTCCACCAAACTGCAGCAATCTTAAATCTAAATTCCTCATCACAAGAGGGTTGGAAGTCAAGGTTTGAATGATTCAATACAAGCTGGTCTCCAATACCACATAAGCAACTCACATCATGTTTTCTCTCTCTTCAAAAGGGTATGTTATCATGGGACTACATTAAACTAAAAAGCTTCTGCACAGCAAAAGAAACAACCATCAAAATGGAAAGGGGCCCTGGCTGGTTTGGCTCAGCGGTTAGAACATTGGCTTGCAGACCAGAGAGTCCTGGGTTCGGTTCCCGCTAAGGGCATGAACCTCGGTTGCGGTTTGTCCCCAGCCCCAGTTGGCCAGTCGATGGGTCTCTCACATCAATGTTTCTCTCTCTCTTCCTCCCTCTATCCCTCCTGCTCTATCTGAAGATAGGAAAAAAAAGGTCCTCGGGTAAGGATTAAAAAAAAGAAAAAAAAAAAAAAGGAAAGGGAACCCACTATATGGGAGAGCATAATTGCCAATGATACATTAGATAAGGGGTTAATTTCCAAAATATTTAGAGTACTCATACAACTCAACAAAAGGAAAACAAAGAACACAATTAAAAAATAGGCAGAGGACCAAAAGAGACATCTCTCCAAACAGGATATACAAATGGCCTAGAGATATATGAAAAAATACTCAATGTCACTAATCATCAGAGATGCAAATTAAAGCAACAATGAGGTATCAACTCACACCTGTCAGAATGGTCGCCATCAACAAATCTTCAAAGAACAAGTGTTGGCGAGGGTGTGGAGAAGGGGGACTCTAGTACACTGCTGGTGGGAATGCAGAATCGTGCAGCCACTATGGAAAACACTATGGTGTTACCTCAAAAAGTTAAAAATTGAAATGCCATTTGACCCAATGATCCCACTTCTAGAAATATACCCTAAGAAGACTGAAACACCAATCTGAAAGAATCTATGTACCCCTATGTTCATAGCAGCACTATTTTCAATGGCTAAGATCTGGAAACAGCCCAAGTATCCATCAATAAATGAGTGGATAAAAACGCTGTGCTACACATACACAATGGAATACTATGCAGCTACAAGAAAGAAAGATCTCTTATCCTTTGAGACAACATGGAGGCACCTGGAGAATATTATCTTAAGTGAAACAAGCCAATCAGAGAAAGACAAATATCAAATGATATCACTTATTTATGGAATATAATGAACAAAACAAACTGATGAACAAAATAGACCCAGAGATATAGAAGTAGGGCACAGACTGACAAACCTCAGAAGTGGGGTTGGGAGTAGGAAAGACATAAACCACAGAACTTATATGCATGTATGTGTAACCAATGGACATAGATAACAATGCTGGGGACGGGGTAGGGGACGGGGATCGGGAGGAGGGTGTCAATGGGGTAAAAAGGAGAAACATCTGTAATAAAAATAAATTAATAAAAATAATTTTTAAAAACGGGTGTGTTATTTTTATATTTTTCTGACTCTCTTGTTTTCTGTCTCCCTGTTCCTTTTTGCTTCAAATCCTAACACTCTTTATTCCACCATTTTCTAACTATGGTCTGAGGACCTTTTGATTCAGAGTCACTTTTTTTTTAATCCTCACCTGAGGACATTTTTGCATTTTATCTTGAGATATAGAGTAGGAGGGAAAGAAGGGGGAAGAGAGAGAGAGAAACATTGATGTGAGAGAGACACATCGAATGGTTGCCACCCACACGACCCCAACCAGGGCCAGGGACAAACTGCAACTGAGGTACATGTCCTTAGCAGGATCCGAACCCGGGCATCTCTGGTCCCTGGGCCGACGCTCTATCCACTGAGCCAGACTGGCCAGGACCAGAGTCACTTTTGAGGGGGCCAAGAAATCTGCATTTTACTCAAACATCCGAGGCAATTTTGGTTACATGAAGGTTTGAGAACCATTGCTTTGGTACCTCTTAGGACAAAATTTTTTCAGCCAAAGTAGCAGCAGCAGGGAAGGAGAGCTGGCTTGGGGAATTACCTGTGAATGCCTCCTGTAGGGCATAAATGGGCTGGCTTGGAACTGGAGGCCTCTCTGACCCCCATACCAGGTCCACAAGGTTGGTTGTGATTGACACCAGCTCTCTGTGAGAGCCTTGGAGGGCCATGTCATAAGTCTTCCAGGTGCCTGCAGAGACAGGAAGGAGTCACTTGTCCCCGGCCCACTTACACGGCAGAAAAAATTGTGACTCAGGCACAATTAGTCCTCATCTACTCTGTCACCTGTTCTGCTCCTGTAGCCCCATCTGCCCAGAGCCTGCTCAAGTAGTCTGGGCCTCCTGAGTCATATACTCTCACTTTCTGCTTTCCATTTTCAAACTCCAATTTCCACAAGCCAACCCCAATACTGTCCATAGCCAATTAGCTAAACTCATCTTATTAAATTTGAATGACTGTGGGGCCCTCTTTTGGTACTATCCATTTTGACTGAGCTTCAATGTCACAGCCCAAAGGAATGGTGATGTTCAGACCATTGAAAAGACTGTCAAAGAAGCCATTTCTGAAGCAGGAGTCTTCAGTACATATTCACAAGGACTCTATCCTTGGGGTTAGCCTGGTCAGTCAGTTGGGGCCCCAGAGCTCAGGGAGCTGTATTCCTGGGGAAAGATGACTGTGCTTCTTTACTCAAAAGCCTTCTTAGTCATTTGACCCTTCCAAACTGCCATCCAGAAGAGGGCTACTAAGTGATTCTAGTGCCCTAATTGGTAGAGTTCCAGGTCACAGAGGATTGTTCTGTGTTCAAGGATATTCTAGCCTATTCATCTGCTAGATCTTAATAATTTCCTGCATCTTCTAGGTTGGGTCTCTGCACTCATAACTTAAAAAGTCTGTATTCATTCTTTTAAATACATTGTCATCACATAATCCATGAATAGTCTTGTTGCACAATATTCTGCAACCATAAGTTTAAGCACTCTATCTTTAGTCACCCGCCCTTCCTTCTACCAAGGTATGTTTCTTTACATCCCAGGGAAATTGAGTCACCCTCATCGATGTGGACAAATATAGGGACTGAAGGAAGAACTTACCAATGGAGAAGAGGAGGGGGTCAAAACCCACACGCCCTCCAGTAGGAATCTCAGTGAGGAGCCAGTTGACAATAGGGGCACTGCCAACTTAGAGGAAGACAGGAAGGAACAGAGGTTACCTCCAGGGCCAGTCCCAGGCCCTCTAGCCAGGCTTCTGACTGTGACAGTCCTGTCTTATGTGTCCTCCTTGATAGCAGCCTCAAAGTTTAGGGATGGCTTTGAATTTCCTCAGCTTCCCATAGTGACCCAACTTGGCCTTGAATACACCCCTCACCTGTACATCACTGAACTTAGTGTGGGTTCCAGGGCTTGGGAGACAAATCCATGCAGCCCTTTTACCTTCCTTGTGGAGCTCCCAATTGCAGTCCATCTCCTGCTCAGCTTGGGTCCAGTAGCGACTGTCGGTCCAGAGACCTGCTTTTCCCATGGTCACCACTGCAGTTCCTAGGGCAGAACAGAGAAACTTGGAGGAGATGGTGAAGGTGAGGAATGTGGTTTTATTAGTGCATGTGCCATGCAGTGCTGGCTCTGAGAATGTCACAGAGGCTTCTGGAAAGAGTTATTTCCTCCATTGAAGGGAAATGAGGCAGGAGATGTAAAGAGAGCCTTGATGGAAGCCAACAGAAATGGTGTCCTGTTTTGTGTTGAGGGCCTCTCCTAAGGGAGCCATTAAGACTTTTAATAGGAGAAATGGGGTCTGCTTTCAGCAATCTAAAAGAGATGATGCTGCATGTGAGTGGTCTCAAAAAAGATGGTGTAGTCAGTACAAGACTCAGTGGCTTAGAGGGGCACTAAGCCAGGAACTTAGAGAAGCCAAATGCAGCATCTTTGGCAAAGAGAAGGGTCCGTGATGGGCAAGTCAAAGCAGATTAAAGCCCAGGGGATGAAGGTTTAAGGATCAGTAAGAGAAGCTTGGATTTCATTCAAGGGGTCAGGATCAGGGTGAGAGGCCCCTTCAGAAACTGGGACCTCTACATTTATGTATAAGGTCTCTACATTTGTGTCTCATTTGACCATGTGAGGTGATGTTTTTCCTAAAGGGCCAGCAAAGAAAAACTTTGTTCCTAAGTGAGCCATTGTGTGAAGGGAATCAGTGGACTCCTAGTGGCTAGACATAGGAGTAGTTTCTGTTCCAGAAAAGGGGCCCAGGGGTTGCTAGGTTGGACCTGGCTGCAGCAGAGTCACTGAGCATGGGAGGGAAGCCAGAAAGACCTGCCTCACGCAGAAGTGTGGCTGGTGGGCTATGAGATATGTGCCCTGGGGAATCTGATGAGGTACCTGCCCTGGTGACTCATTTTGGAGTGGTAGAGGGGCTTCTGGACATTAGGTCCTGAAGTCCTGGATGCTGAGAACTAGCTACACCAGGGCATCTTGTGACCACCTCTGACTTGACCAACAGAAGCAATGAAGCTGTTACCTGAAGACCCTGTAAAGCCTGTAATCCATGCAAGCCGCTTGTCATGTTCGCCAATGTACTCGCTCTAGGAAATCAACAACACCATCGTTATCCTTTTTCATGAAGTCAGACCCCACATGGAAGGCTCCCAACCACATTCCATTTCTTTTTGTTAAGATTTATCCAGTCCTACAAGCCCAGGTATGCTGGATACCTCTTCCTGGAAGCCCTTTGGAACTTTCCCCAGCTCTCAGGATCTTATTCTCCTTTGAACAACTGTATCTCTTAGAGTCTAAACCCCATAATCTAGCACTGGACCTTTCTGCAAAGAAGTCTTGTCTCCCTGGCCAAAATGCAAATTCTGTGCAGTCTGGGGTCATGTTTTTTGGTTCTTCTGGGTTCTTACTTCCAGTTGTCCCTTTATCTCCTCAGTTTAACATAGTACACCGAGTCCATCATAAATATTTTCTGCAGAGGACTTTATACATTATTGCATTTATTGTATCTTGATCCTAATAATCTTCACAGATTTCATTATTCCTATCTTGCAGAAGAGGAAACTAAGGCTCAGAGAAGTTTAAACATTTACCCAAAGTTCTTAGTCTTTCCCAGCAGGTGGTAAAACTAATTCAAGTAATCTTATTGACACTGAAAATTCCTCCTCTTCCAACTGGGCTGGTGCTGGAAAGGTCAATAGGGTGGAGGGGCAAACAGTAGTGGGAAAAGATCGAATGGGTGGGCAGGGGCACTGCTTTGGGAAATGCATTTCTTCTTCAGACCATATTGTTTCCTGTCTGCTTCCCCTCCCCCAGCCTATACCCCAAACTCGTGTATTCTGGGGCTCTGGATAATTTCTTTCAATGCTCTATCCATTAGGTTATAAGAAGGGCTGAGTGGTAAGGAAGTTTAGCATTCTTCCAGTCCACTTCCAGCCCACATTCTAACCTCCTAGGGCATGGTGTCATAAACATTCATTCTGGATCTGCCATCTAGGAAGTGATCAAAATCCATCCTGAAGTTGTTTATAGTTTCATTGTCTGAGGTCAAGATTTGGCAATGTCTTCTCTCCTATGTAAAGGATTACATTCTTTCAGCTGCCCTAAACTCTTGTGTCCAAGCTCCTCACTTCTTTCCCTTTGCCTGTTAAATCCTTTCTCTGCCTTCATCTTCTGAGTCTTAATAATCTCCTGTTTGTGGTCTGTTCTCATTGGCTGACCCAGGGTAGCAGAAAGGGCAAGATGGTGGGGGAAGGGCATCCCTTACCATGTGGCCATCCGTATTCGGGATGATGTAGGCAGAGAGATTCCAGGTGTGCATCTGCTGGCGAAGGTCTTTGAGCTGCACTGTGGTATTGATCACAGTAACCGGAAGGTACTGACATGGGACAGGAAGACACCAAGATACACACAGAGACACATATTGCTTAGAGAAAATGATGTCTGGGCCCTTAGCATCCGGAGGAGCCACCAGCTTCTTCTTAGGCAGGGGTTGGGGGCTGGTAGGGTGGGTGGGATGGGCCCATCTGGAGAGACTTGGGGCAGCAGCTGATGTTGTGGGCTAGTCTGGATTAAGGTGCATGGGCTGAGCAGAGATGGAGGTGTTGAAGAGCTTGGAGAGGGACCTTTTGTGACAGTAATGGGACCTGAGTCTAGGATAGGGGTGTGGGTGAGAGTTGCAAGGGATAGTCTCTTTTTGGATACCTTGGAAGAAGCAACACCAATTTAACAAATAAAAATGCAGGATGCCAATCCAGTCACATTTGAATTGCAGATAAACAATGAATAATGTTTTAGTATAAGTATGTCTCATGTACTATTTAGGGTATACTTTTATAAATATTAGACATTATCTAAAATTCAAATATAACTTGGCATGCAGTATCTCATCTGGCAACCCTACCTTGGAGACTTTTTCAAGTTTCTATTTACTGGTTTCAAATGGCAAAGGAGAGTGAATGAGTACCCCCAGGAGTTTGGGACATTTTCCAGAAAGTTTCCCTCCAAGACAGACATTTTTTTAGAGGCTGCTTTATTTTTAAAATAAAGTATGAGTTTTTTAAAATTTGTTTGTTTTCTTTTGTTTTGCCTTCTGTTTCACAATATTTCTATGTTTGTTTTAATGTAAAAGTAGTGTGGCTGGTCTACCCACCTGTCTGCCCCAGTGGTCTCATGAAGTTGACAGTGCAAGCAGATGTACTCCTGAGGCCCACTAGCTCTCACCTTTTGGCCTACCCCTGCCTGGGGAAGCTCTTTTATCTATTTTCATTGTGGAAAGAATAACTTTGGTCTCCAGCCAAGAAGCTGATGACTCTTCAGCTCCAAATTATTGGGCTTTCTTCAGATCTTCACACCCTAGGCCCCCCTCTCTTGCCCTTCCATTGGTTCTTCTAACTTTCTGTCTTCCTCCCTCCCCCCTTCTTTGCCTCCCACTTTGTTGTTCCTCTAGAATTCTTGTTTTCTTTCCTCCCATCCTCCTCCTGGCTTCTGCCTAGACTCAGTCAAAGGTTAGCTAGGGGCCTCCCACCATCCTTCTTTCCCCTCCTCCCTCCCTCTAGTGGGGCTGTCCAGGTCTAAGCCAGGACAAAAGTAAATAATCTGCTGTGGGAATGGGTGAGAGGGAGGGAAGAGGGGCAGATATTAGACACCTGAGAATGTGCTGCCCTTCCTGAGAGATGTTAATCAGAAATAGTGGCACCAAAGTCCAGAAATCAGGAGACAGGTTAGTAGAGGGAAAGGCCAGCAACTGAACCAATGGGGGGTGGGGAGGACAATGGGACCTGTGGGGTGAGGCTGGGATGGGGGTCAGGGCAGGCTAAGCCAAGGTCTCACATGAGGGCTGGTTGAACAGTTTCTCACGTTCTCTCTTCTCAGGTCCACTGGCTTTGCATGACCCCAGGCACAAACTAGGAACCAGGAGAAAAATCCAGAGTCACTTGGTGATCAGATAGTTTTTAGAGAGCATAGGGACATGTTTCCCCAACCCTCCTTCCTATTCCTGCAGGCCCTCTATCCTTTGAAACACACGATGCTGTCCAACTCTCCTTAAGGATAAAAAGAATCACATTCCATAGAAAGTCAGGCTGAATTGGTTGGCACCCTGGGTCACAATCAAAGACACCTGATTCATCCACAACTGATTGCTACTTTTGGAAGGGTTTTAATGCTCATTAAATCAATTTTTCCTTCTAATTTAATTGAGTCTCTTCAGGGTATACTGAACTGGAAAAGTTGTGTGTAAATTAAATTTTTGTAATCAAATATCTTTGAAAGTCTCTAGAGCAGCAGTTCTCAACCTGTGGGTTGTGACCCGTTTGGGGGTCGAATGACTCTTTCACAGGAGTCACCTAAGACATAAGAGAAGCAAAATTACAGTTATGAAGTAGCAACAAAAATAATTTTGTGGTTGGGGGGGGGGGTCACCACAACATGAGGAACTGTATTAAAGGGTCTCAGCATTAGGAAGGTGAGAACCACTGCTCTACAGGATCTTGCTAAATAATCACCCAACCTTCATTTTACTCTTCTATAAATCTAATTTCATATACATTGGGTTTACTTAAATTCAAGGTCCCCTTGTACCATTTCTTATAATCTAAATCTCTGCCTATCATTTAAGGCTAGTTTTAAGTATCTAAGACAGGCAATCTTAGTCTGACATCATCACCTGGTGGGGAAAGGTGGGTTAGCATGAAAGAACTCCTACTAATATGCCAGACACTGAAGTCATCAATTTATCTATAGCATCTCATTTGATACCTGTAGAAGTTCTGTGAGGTGAATATTATTGTGTACTTTCTATAGAGGAGGAAGCTGAGGCCCAGATAGGTTTAGTATAGTCAATTGCTGAAGTTTTGTCACAGTAAGTCAGTGGTAGGGCAGTGGTTTGAATCTGGACTATTTGAGTACAAAAATCCAACCATGGAAGGATAGTGCCACAGAAGGGACAGAGTACACAGAGACATAGTTTTCAACTTGGGCTGTGCCCCAAATTTGGTGTGACCCAATGAGAGTCATCCAGTATTCATTGAACAAACATTTCCTAAAGTGCCTACTGTATGCCAGGCACTGGGCTAAGTCCTATAGGCTCTGGGCCCTAAAAGCCCAGTGATCTCTGATAGTCTTCCCTTCTAGCACCTCACCTTTTGAGGAGGATCTCTCTGGAGGGTAATGGGGGGCCTGGATATGGACACTTTTGAGTGGGTTGAGCTATAGATAGAAGGAGGGTGGCTGGGGTTTAACACCATGAATGCCCTGTCTGGTTGTGCTGGTCTTATAAAACTCAAGGGGGAGATTAGACCCATCTTATTGATTTAAGAAAATGAACCCTCATTTCTGCAGGAACAGATCTCTGGCAAAATGGTGGCGCTAAGATGTCAACATAAGCAACAAGACTCAGCCAACCTATGTCCTCTGGGCACCAAGACTGCTGTTCTCTGAGGCCCAGGCTGTGGTTCTCAAGGGCAGGCTCTGCAGCCAATCATTCTGTGGTCCCTGACACAGGGCCTGGCACTGGAGAGGTGCTCAGGAATTGGGTACTGAATGAATGAGCAACGTCCTGCTGACAGAGAACAAAGGGAAGGAAGGTATCCTCAAAGCTGGAAGTGGAATGGGTGTGGAGGATGTTGAACTGGGTAGTTAGTTATGACCAAAGGGGACAAATAGGGGTGACAAAAACCAAGCTTTAGTTAGGCTCCTCTGAGCCTTCTTCTCATTAGGCTTTGACTTTGGCCTGCCATACCCATCCTTTTCTTGATGGTCCTGAATCTCCCAGTCTTAGAAAGAATCTTGCTAAGTGACTTTAGAAGGAACCCCCCACCCTTAATATCTGATCACCCTTTGATATCTGATCAAATTCCTCACTCCACCCTTGGTATCTGATCACCTTGGCCTGACTTCCATAAGAATCCTATTAAGTCGGTTTAGCAAGAATCTCCCTATTCTTTATGTCTCCTCTTAGGAATTTCAAATCCACTGACTTCCTTACTCTGTACATTAGCCATCTGTGCTGTATTCAGAGTTGAGCCTGATCTTCCTCCTCTATTGCAGTGTTCCTATTCCTATAGTGTTGAATAAAATCTGTCTTACTTTTTATTTATTGAGAGAGGAAGGGAGAGAGACAGAGAAAGAGAAAAACCATTGATGTAAGAGAGAACATTGATTGGTCACCTCCCGTACACATCCCAACCAGGGAATGAACCCAAACCTTCTGGTGTGTGGGACGATGCTCCAACAAACTGAGCCATACTAGCCAGGGCTCTTCCTTATACAAGTGCCAGAATAATTTTTTCTTTAACAGATAGGGATGGAAAGGTGTCAAACCATACTGGAACTGAGTCTTGAGGGTCCCAAAGACTGTCTCTGATGTTCTTCTTCCTCAAGAAAGAGAAGGGGACCAAGAGAAAAAGAGACAACCTGGGCCCCAACCCTCACTCCAACCATTTCTGAGCCCAGAAGGGGAAGCTAGAGCTGCTCTCCAGCTGGACCTGCCCTCCCAGCATTAGTGGGGATGAAGAGACCAGGATGCACATACCAGAGAGGAGGACAAACAAGGGGCAATAGCCCCAGGGAATCCCGGCCATGGAGTCTCCAGATGCTGGTGCTGGGTCAATAGAGGGATGAGGGAGAATGAGCAGGTTTCTTCCTTTTCTGGCCTCTTCCTCCAGGCCTTTCCCAGGCAGGAGCAGCCAGGGGGCAGGGGCTGGCAATGTGGAGGAGGTGTCCGACTGGTGGATGAAGAATCCCCTTCGATCTGTTGTTTCTGAGGGATCCAGGAGTCAGGGTGGGCAGAGAAGCCTCTGTTGGTTCCCAATCTCCTAGAATAAATGTGAGCCTGCCCAGGGCAGAGTCCAAAGATCTGAGCCAGAGAAGTAACAGCTGGTCTCAATCAACTTGCTTCTCCCAACCCCCTTATGTACAGCAGCCAACTTCAGCCATTCCTGAATTTTGTCCCCCTCCCTCTGGCAAGCTGTTTTTCATTAGCTCTCTGACCACGGGCTCTGCCTACAGTCCCACTTTGCTTCTAGATGAATGTTTATCCTTTCTCCTCCTCTACAGTGGCTTGTGTCAGAAAAAGCCAGTGATTTCTCTCCCTAGTGCCTAGGAAGCCCCACTGCACCCCTCAGGGAAGTTGTTTATAGCTGGAGACTTACTTTCTTGAGCTGAGGTGAGTCCCCTCAGGAGAGCCCATTCTATAAAAGTGCTGCCAGCCACTGGCAGAGGGAAAGACTGCCCTTCTTTTGGGACTGTTAATGCCATTCACGCCTGAGAGGGAACAAGGCCCAAAGACCTGTTTAGAGGGATCAGGGGATACAACTGAAGAGGAAAGAAGACCCACAGAAGAGAGTTTGGGGGCTCACAGAAAACAAATTTGGTTAACTGGACATGGAGTTTCTGCCATAGCTTCTAGAACATGACTTTGTGCAAATCTACTGTTCAGCTACAAACCATGGCTTTCTGCTCATCACATGTGTCTAAACTCCTAAGAAAAACTTTCTTCTAAGTGAAGACAACATTTACAAATACATGTATTTACATGCCTATAATATTTTGGTTGTGCATGCTTTGTCTTTAAGTTATTAAAGGAATGTTTAACTTCTTCCCTATGAAGAAGTGGTGAAACTGAGGACAGCTTTGTCTCCACAGCCACTGAATTGGAGGACAGCTTGTTGCACTAGTGCCAAAGCAGCTCCCAGTAAATGTCCTCTAGAACCCTCAGCCAAAAAAGGATACTTCAAAGAGACAAACAGACCTGATGAACAAGTGCTCACTTAGCCTGGGGGGGCCCCAGAGGCAAACCACTCATTCCTTTTTATTTTATTTTTAATGTATTTATACTCTGCTTACAAGCACAAATTTAAGGCAGCTTTAAAAGAATCCATCCAAATACAATAAAATAAACCATTTTGAAGAGGGAAAAGGACCATCCTGGGACTCTCTGAAGGAGGGAAGTCTAAGTGAGTGAGAAGGTTTAGTGAACTCCACCTCTAGGAATAAAAGCTGAGGGCAGAGCCCTCAGCCTCAGAAGATAGACTGGGGACAAGGACTGGGAGAACCCCATGTGGTTTTGGGCCTGCTGACATGCCCATTATCTTTTCTGTACCCCCTTTGCCCCCACCATTTCAGGACTGAGAATAAAGCTATTCCCAGAGACCAGAGGACTGGGGAAATGCCTTCTCAAAGGCCATTCCCTGCACCGTATTAACCATCCTGCAAAGGGAAAGTAGGTCAAATTAATGGGGTCATGTGTGTGGGGGTGGATTTGGAGAAGGGGGGAGATGACCCTGCAGACAGTTGTCTAGGACAAACAGCTCTGCCTTCACCAGTGAGTTTAGGAGCAAACTGCCAAGGTTTCAGTCCCAGCTCCATCACCTACCATGTGCATGGTACTGAGCCAGTGACTTCACTTCTGTGACACCACAGTTTCCTTGCCTGTGAAATGGGGTAATAACAGTACTAACTTAGTACTAACTTCTTAGGGGTGTGATGAGGATTTTTTTTCATCCTCACCTGAGGACATTTTTTTTGCATTGATCTTCAGATAGAGCGGGAGGGAGAGACAAAGGAAGAGAGAGAGTGAAACATCGATGTGAGAGAGACACATCAAGTGGCTGCCACCCACACAACCCCAACCGGGGCAGGGGACAAACTGCAACTGAGGTACGTGCCCTTAGCGGTACCGAACCCAGGACTCTCTGGTCCATGGACCGATGCTCTATCCGCTGAGCCAAACCGGCCAGGGCTGTGATGAGGATTAAGTGGATTAATCTCTGTGAAGCTCTCAGAATGTGTTTGCCACAAGGAGTTAATACTACATAAGTGTCTGATGAGTCAAATGTACAACTAGAAACTGCACCTGTCTCATCTATACCTTGTTCTTTCTGCCTCTGGCATCCAACACTGCTGAAATGGCAGTTAATATTATACCAAAGATCAGCTGGGCTGAAGCGCCAACTCTGGAAGCAAATCAAACTATTTATTGGTGTCCCTCCCCATCTTCTGGACTCTGCCCTGGGGATGCACTCAGAGGCTACCAAGGCTCTGCACAGTACTCAGCCCTCTGGTTCTGTACTCAGGGTCCTTGTATTTTTCCTGGTGGCAATGATGACTTCACATGTTTTCCCCCTCATCTTCTCCCGTATCTCCTTATCTCAAAACCAATGTCTTTAGTCATCAGTTTGCGGGACTTGAACTCAAGTTGGCAGCAGGCCTGAAGTGGAAAGCAGTGATTCAGGGTGGAGAGGGTGAACGACAGAGTCCTTGCACCAAAGATGTTTGGAAGGTCACTGGAGTCTTTCTGTGGCCTCCGCAGGCAGGCCCTCTCTACCTGTCTCACTTTTTGGTCCAAGGTTCACCTCAAAGCCAAATTCTGAAATTGGAGAAATTCTTCAGGGTCTTTCCTGTTCATGCCTCTTTCTTTGTACCCAGATCCCTCCCCAGGGTTGTCACCCTGCCTTCTGATCTGGGTCTGCCCTCTCTGAGCACCAATGCCCGCCTAACTTCCATCAGAATGCATCTTCCCAACTTGCATTTTTCTCCCACTCAGTGAGAGTAGGTGTCCTGAGTCATAGTTCAGATCACGATAACAGGTCATTTTATCTGTTTGACTGACAAAATACATGTAAAGCAAGCAGCTATGCTGTGGGACCCTCTGGAAGACAGAACCCCAAGGAAGGCCTGAGAAGTAAAGTGAGAGCCAGTAGATCAGAGTGGCAAAGGACACCCTGGCAGCCTTGCGGAGCAGAAAGGGGGCAAACAGTTGCCCGGGGAGGCACAGAAATGGCACCTCAGGCATGGTCATGGGGAGGGTCAGCAGTCAGGGAGCAGATTGGAGGCAATAATGCAAACAACAGTCTGAGAGGGCACAGACAGGCAGCTCCATGGCTTATTTTGTCTGACATTAAGTATTGCTACCCCAGCTTTTGTTGTTGTTTACTTATGTTTGCATGAAATATGTTTTTCCATCTCTTTACTTTCAGTCTGTGTGTGTCTTTCGATCTGAAGTGGTTGTCTTGTAAGCAGCATATGTGTGGGTCTTGTTTTCTTATCTATTCTTTTTCTTATTATTTTAAATGCAACATTTTCCCTATTTTCAGTTATACATGGTTATTGCTAGTATGAACAAAAAACATGTCATCTTGTTTATTTATTCCAGAATTATTTTATTATAATTTCTTGTTTTTAGGTGTACAATTACATAATAAACAAGAGATAGTGTATACTTTCTTTACCAATATTTGCATTTTTCTTTTAAAATTACAGTTGACATTTAATATTATTTTATATTAGTTTCAGGTGTACAGCATAGTGGGTTGACAATCATATACTTTGCAAAGTGACCCTCCCAATATTTCAAATACCCATCTAACACCATATATAGTTGTTAAAATACTGTTGACTATATTCCTATGCTGTATTTTACATCCCCATGACTATTTTATAATGACCAATTTGTACTTCTTAATCTCTTCACCTTTTTCACCCAGCCCTCTGATCTCCCTACCCATTGGCAAACATCGATTTCTTTTCTGTATCTATGAGTCTGTTTCTGTTCTGTTTGTTTGTATACATTGTTCTTTTTTTTTTTTTTGTACGTGCCTCTGGTGGGAACTGAACCCGGGACTCTCTGGTCCACAGGCCGGCGCTCCAACCGCTGAGCCAAGCCAGCCAGGGCTGTATATATTGTTTTTTAGATTCCACATATAAGTGTAATCATATGGTATTTGTCATTCTTTGACTGATTTATTTCACTTAGGGTAATGCCCTCTGAGTTTACCCTTGCTGTCACAAATGGTAAGATTTCATTCTCTCTCTCTCTTTTTTTTTATCCTCACCCGATTACATTTTTCCATTTTTTGTTCAGATAGAGTGGGAGGGAGAGAGAGGAAGAGAGAGAGAGAGAAACATCGAGTGAAAGGGACACATCGAGTGGCTGCCACCCGCACGACCAACCAGGGCCGGGGATAAACTGCAACCGAGGTACACGCCCTTAGCGGGAACCGAACCCGGGTCTCTCTGGATCGCAGGACGACCCTCTAACAGCTGAACCAAACCGGCCAGGGCAGATTTCATTCTTTTTTATGACCAAGTTATCCTCTTTTCAAATGTCTATTGGCCATCTGTATGTCATCTTTCAAGAAGTGTCTATTCAGGTTCTTTGCCCATTTCAATTGGATTTCTTATTTATTTATTTATTTATTTATTTATTTATTTATTTATTTATTTAGGTGTTGGGTTGTAGGAACTGTTTATAAATTTTGGATATTAACTTCTTATTAGATGTATCATTGGTGAACATGTTCTCCTATTCAGCTAGTTTTCTTTTCATTTTGTTAATGGTTTCCTTTGCTGTGCAAAAACTTTTTAGTTTGATGTAGTCTTATTTGTTTGTTTTTTCTTTTGTTTTTCTTGCCTGAGGAGATATATCAGAAAAAAATATTGCTAAGAGAAATGTTAGAGAGTTTATTGCCTGTGTTTTCTTCTAAGTGTTTTATGGTTTTGAGTCTTACATTACCTTTTTAATGAGTCTTACATTATGTTTTTAATCCATTTGAGTTTATTCTTGTATATTCTTGGTATAGTTTCATTTTTTACATATATCTGTCCAGTTTTCCCAACACCATTTATTGACTAGACTGTCATTATATGTT